CTAAATTTAATATTTGAACAACTGAACATTGCAGATATTGTTGATATGAATCGGAAAAATAATTCGAATTTCCGCATCCTTTTAAAATTTTTCAAAAATGTTACAAATTCGAGGAAAAAAGATATCATTAGATAGTTTAAATCTGATTTGAACTTTCATGAAATTAGGATATTTTTTTCTCTATTTTCTTGACATTCAAAATATATCCGATCGTATTGGTGTTAAATAATTTTTTTTTAATATAACTGAAAATTATAAATCTTCGAATCCACGGCATTTCTACCCATTCATGCAAAACATCGAACCTTTTTTTGCTATTTTCAAATGTCACGATGCATTCGTATACCTTCTTGTTAGTTTTCTTGGCGTATTTGTAAACGGGTTTAAGAGCGATATGTCTCTGATAGTCCTAATTATCTCCCAAAAAATTTTAGTTTTTAATTTTTTGTAGATGTTTGTGAATAGTTGACAAAAAATTGCAAACTATGTAACATTCAATTTTCTAAAAACCATTTTTCTTTGAATAAATTTATGAATAATTAGGGAACGCAAAAACTTATTATATTCCTTCATAAAGTGGCCTTCTCAAAAATTGAATTGTTTAAAATGAAATCATTTTAAATGAAAAAGCTTTAGTCTAAACTAAATAAATTAAAAATTTGGAATCCATAAGAAATTTCTTTCAAATCGATCAATTCTTAGTTTTTGGGTGTTTTTCTTTCATAAACGCAGGAATCTATTCTATTCTAACGTTCAGAATACAATTCCTCTTCTCATCCATCAGTCCTTCTCTTGAGAGCTTAACTTCGTGATATTCAAGGCTTATAACATCAGCCACCTGTCCTGCTTTTTATTTTAATCTATTTGCGACAAAATAATCATCCACAAAATCTCGCCTCTATTCCTAAATAAGAAATTCAATTTCATTGAACACTGAAAGATCTGAACTCAAAATCTAATATAAGCTTCATTTTTATTCGAATCACTATTAATGAGATTATTTTGAGACTATGAAATATGTTCCATTTTAATCTTTCATCTAAAAACGCACCGTTTATTGTTCACAACTAAATTCATTTGATTGCAGTAAAGAACCCCACACTCCCACTTTTTTAAATTCTTTTAAAGAAACACCTGCAACTTCTTCACTGAGATAAATATTTGAAAGAACAAAAAAAAGATGATTGCATCAGTCTGTTAGCTATCAATGTCTGAAAACACAAAATCAGTCTCTTAGCTATATTGAGAAAACAAAATTAAAGAATTTAACGATTTTCTACGAGTGATTCCAGCTGAAAAAAAACTGAAAAACAAACGGAATGGAATGACGTAATGAAGGAAATAAAAGAAAATGAGTTCCCCGAAAGCAATAAATCAAATTAAATACATGATAATTTCAAGGAAAATTTTATTCATGCTCGTTAGTTCCATTTTCAATTCGGTGAAGATAAATTGTCGCTGTAGCTATCTTTTTATACCCAATTCATTTTCAAATAATTTTCAATTCCATTCAATTCATCCAACAAACGAAATTAGCTATTTCTATAGACCTAATTAAGCAATTATATTATTTGCATTAAATTAAACAGAAATATTTAGAGATGGTTCTGACTTTATAAAGTAAATTTCCACATTGAGCCGTGAAGGAAGTTTAAATAGAATTGATTGCAGCATAGAAGTAACAGATGGAAAGTGGAATTCCTTGACATTCCGGAATTCTTCCAATCAATCTGAAATCTGAGAAATTCATAATTCTTTTTATCAATGAATAAATTTTGTTAGTTACGGTAAGCGCATAATTATTATTAGCATTGGGCCAAAGTTGATATAGTTAGAAATTAGAAATTAATTTCATCTTAGAGAAAGGCAACTGAAAAAGAGATCTGTTTAAGATTATGTTTGCGACATGAAATGAATGAGCGTAATCTCATGTTGTTTCAAATATTACCGACAAGTATCTATGGGAAACAAATATCAGAGTTTTTTTCAAAACATTAGATGATTGCAAGTGAAGCAATTGATTCACATATACAAATAAGGTAAGAATATTTGCGATGGTTAGAAGATTTATAAAGTAAATTTCGACATTGAGCCGTGAAAGAAGTTTACATAAGAGTTGATTATAACAGTTTCTGCATATTACAATACTAACTGTCTCATTGTGTAGCGAGAAAAGAAGCATCTTGCAATCGTATATTATATAAATTATAACTTATTGATTTATCTCTGTTAAAATCTTCAGATATGATACTTAAAAAGATAAGATAAAACTGAAGCTATTCGAGATGATGACAAACTAAAAAACTTTCTTTTTTGAAACTATTTATATCAAAAATTTAATGATTATCAAAAAATGAGTGGAAGGAAATTTAAGATTTCAAAGAAATTTATTGGATATTTTATGAGAGGGAAATAATTGTGAAATAGAATTCAAATCTGTAGCAAAACGCAGACACTCTTGTAAAGATACCGAGAATGATCGAATCGCTGACTTCAATTTGATATGATGAAAATTTTCACTCTTTGAAATCCTCCTTGCAATCTCTTTATAATTTGCTAATAAATGATGGCAGGACAAGCTAAAAATTAGCAACTGTCATTTAAGGATGTATGACAAATATTTAATCAAATGAGAGTTTTTTTTTCACTAAATTCATTTTGTCCAGTATTTTCACTTTCATAAGCACGATTATTCTGAACATCAAAATTTCGAAATCAAATTTTTGCAGGACGAAAAGTTAGAAGCAATTAATTTCACAAATTAATTGCTTTAAGAAATGAAAATGCTTCATTTAGAATAGTCAACAAATGCTGAAATGAAGAAGTTAATGTCTTTTCCAAACTCGCACAAATTTTTGTCTTTCATTATTCTTCATTCCATCCTTACACTTTCTTTACAAACAGATCGAGCAAATTTATTGCTAAAATTGAATAATAACTGAAAACAGAATATCAAATTCGAACCAGAATTCAGTTGTGCATTCCTTCATTATTTTCAATTGAATATTTCATCATTTGTGTCAGTTAATTTTACTTTTTTGTTTCAAAATTTTGATTAAAATTGAAAATAAAAAAATTTGTACAATTGATTCTCTTTATGAAAATTTCACCACGAATGAATAGTTAGTCAAAAAAAGAAACATTTCATTCTCCGATTATAAAATTCAAAATCATAAAAGTCTCTTGAGATCTTTTTTATCATTAATAATTCATAGACATTTGATCAGAGAAAACTTTAAAAAAATCATAATGAAACTATAACTAGTAAGTAGAAATTTGATATGAAAGAGAAGAAATTAATTGCTTTTTAATCAGTTTTTACTATCATTTATAGCAAGCAGTAATCAATTTAGCTTTCAAATTTACATTTCTGCTTTTCGATTTATTCTGAATTTTTCAACTTCGGCATTCCAATCCATTGTCATTTTCCATTTTCAAATCTTATTTTCATCATCTTTTATTTTCTTTTTTTCATTTCCGGTTTTTCTTCTAAACCTGATAATATAAAAAAGACAATTCAATGGTCGAGTTTAAAGTTTCTGCAAAATAATTTTTAGTTTCCTTTCTTGCAAACATTAAACTTCCCAAGGTAAGACCTTAAAAGATTTAAGACAAGATAAAGCCTACTTTAAATCGGTCGTATCACAACTTCCACAAAATTAAAATTACAATTTTTATGAAATCAAAATTAAATTCAAAATGGTCAAGATAATTGAGTATTTCCAATTGTATTTAACAAAAAAATATATGGAAAATGCTAATAAAGTTAACCTTGAAAGATTTAAATATTGCAATCTTAAAAATTTCACAATGAACTGTAATGCTTACTCCAAATCCTGCTTTCCTTCATTATGAATATAAAATAGGTCAGCATATCCATATTTGTTTCAAAACTACTTTTTTAGAAGTTCAAAAATGATCGGAGAAACTTTTCTTTTCGATGCAATTTAATTTAACTAAGTAAGAAAAGCAAGTAAAAAATTGAAATTGTTTCATAGAAGAATAAAGATTTCCTCACATTATTATTATTTATTGTTTGTCAAAACTAACATTATGGGACCATATAGAAATCTGATAATGCATCTATAAATTTTCCTTCAGAAGATTAATTTAAGAGAAATTAAACACGTTCCAGTACTCAGATCACAGAGACATGGTAAAACTTGCTGGTCGGCTAGCACTTAATTGCTATCATATGTGAATATGGTGATATACATTAGATGTAAAATAAATAGGAGGTTAATACGACAGCATATCTCATATTATATAATTACATGTTTACATGTTTATTTGAAGAATTGAATTATCTGAATCTTTTATTATTTCCAGTTTATAATATTCCAGGTCATGATTTCACAGTTGAGAAAAATGGCTAGCATTACAGTATTATCACGTTTCTATCTGACAAACAGCGATTACGCAGTAGCTTGATAACATTTTTTAGGATAACTTTCATTCAGACTTTAAATACTCTTCAAATGTTGGGCAGTAATTAGATTAAAAACGAAAGTTAACTTCATTTTACATTGTCTACTGTCATAAGCATACACTCGGACTTGTAATTAAACTAACAAATAATTTAAAATTATACTTACGTGAAAAGTAAATTAATTTTTGAAATCATAATTTTTATAAGAAATTTAATCATAAAATTAGAAATGATTTTTATTCCCATCTTAATTCCGTTAGTTATTACTACAGTGAAACTTGCTTGAGCTCATAAAAGAACCCAACACAAATTCAAATCGCTATCAAAATATTACACGTTCAAGGTCAAAAATCAACAAGGTGTTGCAGAATTCAAATTTATGAGTGTGAATTGGTATATCATTATTCACGATTATAGGTGTTATGCTTGCGTGTATCATGCTGTAAACATATTAAGAAAAATTTTTAATCATTTCCTATCAAGGTCATGTCGCATGTACAATATATCGAGCAATAGCGCAGATTGTATTACTTATGATTTTGAATTATAATAGAGACAAATATTTTTTAATTCAGGAGACAGGTCGAATTATGATTCTTTGATCTTTAGGTAATACTAAATAAAGATCGGCCAAGGTATCGTTCATATTCAGATCATTACCTGTCTCCGATAGATATAATCGAAAATCAGTTGGTGGTCCAGGCTGTTGACACATTGTAAGGAGTATAATGATCGCTTCATAACAAGTTGTTCGTGGAGAGATAAACAACGACTTGTACGTACTCTATTTAATGATTATATTATTTATCAGTTTACTATTAATTTTAACTTTATAATTTATTAAATTAAATTAAATGTAACAAAATTTTTTATTAATTAAAAAGTTTTGCTAATTTATTGAATGCTAATTAATTCAATTTCATCATTTTTAATCGGCAATTCTCCTATACTTATTTATTTCAGTTGTTAATATACTACCTGTAATAAACATTTTTAACTTTCTTACTGAAGAGATCATCAAAGTCATGGCAAATTTATCAAGTTTATGGTAGCAGTAACTGACTGCATTATAGTAACGACTATTATTTCTTTAGAAATTTAATAGAAAGTAAATTGAAATGTGATATCGTTGTTTCATTTCTTTCTACAGAAATATTTTTTTGCTTTAGAATCAAAAATAGAAAAATAAGAAAAAAAGAATTTTAGCAAGAAATATTGACAAACTAAGGTATAGTACCTTTGGAGAGAGTAAATAGTCATATATCCGTACCAGAACACCGTTTGTGGACATTGTTATCAGGAATCGTGACATATGCACCGGATGACAACGTTGCAATTCAAGTGGTCGCGCTTCCTGAGACAACAATAGCGGAGTTTTCACCTGAATCTCATGACAGTTCAATAAATGAAAGATTCGAAAATTTTGCAAAGTCACTGTACGATCTATATTCATTGCCTTTAAGAAATTTTGATTTGCTAGACATAAAGTGATTTCAAATATGAGATCAATTTACATATTATAATTTTTTCTAGATCTTTATTTATCTTTTATTCTAGAGAAAGTGTATTAAAAAGTTGCATCACCAGCTTCTCAACAGAGAAATGCGCCATTCATTTTTAGTGAGCTGGGAATTTCAAACAAGAAGAAAACATTTACACTGATTTATATGTAACAAAATTGAGCATTAAGATGTTTCAAATTGAAATAATTTTAAATCCATTCAAAATGAACGATTGAAAAGATGTATATGTATCGATTATGTACTTCGGTAGATAAAAACACTCCTCCCAATAGCGCTTTTTAATGCTCCAATACTTCATATATTCAAATATTTGCAATTCACCACAAATTGATTACCTGTTCCCCATTATATCGAGTCCAAACTTCCATTATAATCTCGAACAAATTGGGATCTTTGCATATTCGAAATTTCGCCAAAATCGTGTCAACAATATTTTTCACTGTATGGTTGGTTGAAATTTTTAACGTTTTATAATCGGTGTCCTCTTTGATGTTGCCTGTATAGATACGCAATGTACCCTGCAATTACAGCTCTATGAAATTTTGTTTGTAGTGAAAAATAAATATTATTGTAAAATTTTAAATGAGCTCTTTTTTCATAGAACTTTCTTAAATTTTTCTGAAAAAGCTAAAAATATCATAGCTATCATAAAATAGTTGTCTTCATACCTTAATGTGAAACTAATCGAATTAGTAATTCATACAATTACTAATTCCTTAGACTGTCTCAAATTTTGAATTAAAAGCATAAATCCAACCAAACAGTCATATTTTCAAAGAAGAAAATAAACACACTTTAGTGTCTATCACTTACTTACATATAGTACTCAAATAAAGAATTATGGTTTATTTTATTAATATTATTATTCAATTACTATAACAAGTACTTTAAAAATATTTCACTTAATGAAAAATAAATATGCTTTCTATCAACTTTTCTATCAGAAAACTGTTTGAAAAACCGTAAATAGCATATGGATTCTCTAACTTAACTTAAGTTGAAGAGATATAAAAGATTAATTACAAAACTTTTACTATGAAACTTATTATAATTAAATCTGTCTTCAATTAATACAACGATTTTCATTATTAAATGTTTCAAAAAAGTACGGCAAAGTTGAGTGCCAAATTTTTCAGAATAATCCAAATAAGCTAATATAAAAAGTTCGATAAAAAGAGAAACAAACAAACCCATTCGCTAGCATCACTGCTATCTACCGAACTTAAAGAGCTCAATGAATTGGATCGATCGCAAATATATATCGTTTCTTCTAATGACGATGATGACGATGGCTTATCAGAGGAATGTGATGGCGTACTTAGGCTGCTACTTCGACTTGTTTTACCCTGATATTTGCTATACAGTTTCCTTGACCGTACTTGATATTTTAGCATTTCTTAAATGAAGTGAAATTATATATATATATATAATACAGATATCCCCATGGGCAGTTTTAGAAAATTCATCAAACAATTCTCAAAAACTATCTTCTTTAAACCAAAATGAAAGTCAAAAGAGCGCTTCATTCAGTCAGCTGCTCTAATAAACCAGTTTGCTAAAGTCCACTTATATACACGAAGGAGATCTCAGCTTTCTTTCATTAATGCAAAGATAAAATTATAGATCCTTTTGATTGATAAATGCGCAAATCGAATACATCAAATTAATAATTTCACAAAGACACTTTTTGAAAAGTTCCGGAAACTGGAAGGAGATTCCATAGCCCATAAAAGATGTTTTAGAAAAGAGAAAGCAGGTGATAATACGACTCTGAAAGGCAATAATATTATCATGATAATATCCATTGTTACTATTAGTAAATATTATCGTGATAATACGTTAAAAGGAGGAATGGGCGGACATGCATATTAAAGCATTAAATGCGCTCATAAACCAGTCTCGTATGGCATTGTATCATAGTGATTTGTCTGAAATAGAAGCAATAACTGGAAATTAGCTCTCTGAAATTAATGAATCGAGATGAAAATATAAAATCATAGGAGAAAAATCGAAAAAAAATTAAAATATCTGCAAGTTATTTGAATCAAGTTCTTAACTACTATTATATAAAGGAAATGAGCGTAAATTTTCATCGCCGTACGAAAAATTACGCCTAGAAAAGAGAGCTACAACTAAATCTTATTCAATTAAATATTTTCGTATTCACATCAATCATGACATTTCCAGTAAAGCATATTAATAGTGTGTGGGTTTAATTAGTAGTTTAAAATAGAGAAGAAATTAAAATAAAAATACGAAACCGGATAAAATAGCGAAATGAAATGCGGGAATGACAGATGAAGGTTTGAAACTGGTAGTAAATTCTGGATTTAGAATTTGACATAAATCAAAATGACCAACAACTTTGAATATCTTATTTTAGAGCGTTAATATATTTAAGATTTAACGGAAATTTTCAAAGTCACATTTTCCTGATTTCGCATGATGATTAAATGAAACTATTCTATTTATAATTTTTAGATGATCAATTTCTTTATCCATATGAAGAATAAGGCATAATTCGTACTATCCATATAATTGAGCAAATTTAGTCGAGCAAATAAATCAATCGAATTCATCTGATTTATCCGTTCATTTTAAAATTGAGCGAATGGTGCTTGCATTATTGTTGTAAAAGTGAAAGTTGTGAGAGTGGAATGAAATGAAGCATATGGCAAGCGAACAGCTCATAAATAAATGGATGAAGAAACATAAATAACAAATAGCCTAAATCATCTCAAAAGTTTTCAACTAATGCTCTTTAGATATCACAAATAGTGCTTTGTTTAAGCTGAAAAAATTGAAACAAACAAAAAAACCAAATAAATGTTTAATAAAATGTACAAAAACTAGAAAGAAAAAATTCAAGTTGTTGCAATGCTTATGCAACAATTTAATTAATTGTCGAATATGTAAGAAACATAAGAATGTAAGGCTTTCGCAGTTAGTTTCCTGCTTTCTCGCTGCTATATTAGATATTGAAAAGATTAAAAAAAAGGTTTCCTGAAGACATCAATAATGTTGGTAACTATTAATAAATTAAAATAAACAAAGGTACTTCTGAGCAACTTGAAGTTCTCAGTGATAAAAATATAAAATGAATATTCACAAAAATGCTTCATAAACGAGAGTTGGAATGAAAATAGTGGGATGAATGGAAAAGTCCAAAGAATATCAAACATTTTGATATTTGGCATGAAATTTCAGTAATGGTCCTGCTACATTTTCAGAATTATTTCCTTCATAAATTATATTTGTGAAAAATAATGCAGATTTAACGAAGAAATAAAAGATATTGTGTAAAATCCGCACGGATAAATATTTGAAAGCGTATTAAATATACTTTCTATCGGAAGCTATGTTGGATATTCAATCCAAAGAATGGAAATCCCAACCAATCATCGCTTTATATTAGCGATAATCCCATAATCACATCTTATAGTCCTAGAAAATTCATCTCTATTTCGCGATCATTAGGAATTTTAATTCTATTCAAGGTTTCCCAACTATAAACTTTATTCATTTCCAGTTTATCAGCAGTGCGTGACCTTTCCAAGGTAATTTCTTTTTACTTGCATCACAATAATTGTGACCATTACTTAAAATGTTTTTCTATATATTTTGCATTCATTATATGCTAACAGTTTGTAAACTTTAAAATAACTTAGAATGTACCGGAAAAGGTCAACATCGAATATGACTTCTTTTAGTGGCTGGCAATTCTCCTCACACTCATTCTTTCACCTCTACAAGTACACTTTCAATCTTTGGATATCTTAAGTTTTGAATGAAATAAGTACTTGCAGTTTAACCTATTACGATCTATTGAGCTACTGAATAAACAGATCTCTGAAAGGTTATGATATTTGAAAACGAATTCTTTTTTTTAAAGGTCAAAACAATTAATGTTACAAAAATCTCATACAATAAAATGATCTATTAATTGAAACTAATTTTTCAAAAGAAGATAGTTACAACTTAATAATTGCGAAATAATTGTAACAATTTTTTGAACAGATAATAGATCAATCATTTTTAGCAAGTGTTAGTTAATTAATTATCTATCTAAATTAAAATTAATTGCAATTATCTAAGAAGGAGAAATAATAAAAATTAGCTATCACAATTTTTGAGACAGTGAAAAATACAACGAGCGATAATTTTATTCTGAAATAGTAAGTTAGAAAAAATGACTGATACCGTAATTTTTTTAAGTGATCAAACTTGACTGTCAATAATTGCATCATCTAAATTTCGATCATTTAATATAAATTATAGAAGAAAAGAAAAGAAATGAAGTAAGTGACTATTTTGTGACATGTCAAATGAAAGAGTAATAAATGGAAGGGAGGAATTTTGCGCAGGAATAGACTATTTTGTTTACAAGAAAGAAATCAGACGGAAGGAGAAACAAATTTTGTTCAGAAAAGAAAATAATAAATTTGTGTTTACTACTAGAGAAAGCTATGAAAAAAAAAGAAAGAAAACATCAAAATAATTCTTGCAGATTGCTATAAAAAGATATAAAATATCATTAATGAACATAGCAATTATTGTATATAAAAGGTACTCTATCTGAGTGATAATCACTTCATCTAAGTGATAATCTTGCAATCTTGTCAAATAATATTGTATTGGCTATTTGAGACAAATATTTTGAGAATTGATGGGGGCAGATTCAACGTAGTTGTATCTTACAAGTTAGTAATAATATTGACATTAAAAATCGATTCTTGAAGTTCTGAAACTTACATCGAATAAGAAAATTCCAAGTAGATTGATATCAAAGATAATAATGGAATAGACGAATGAGCTCCTTTTGGTTAAATTGCGATATTTTTAAGGATGCAATGAATTTGCGGATGGATGGATAAATTGAGGACTCCGCAGATTCGTCAAAACCTGTCTTACTTTGTCATCAAAGAATAATCCAACTTTTCTCTCTCCCTATTTCTCTTTGCAAATCTCTGTCTTTCTATCCTTTGCCAGATTTACACGCTTTTTAAATACTCGAACTTAACCTTAATATAGCGAATTAATTTAATCGTTCGAAAAAGACGATGCTTTTTTATTCCATAATATGCAGCGATATACAGATGGGATATACTAAATTTAGTATTACTCTCTCGAGGCCGAAAAAAAGATAATTCTAACAAAAGAAATATAAGTGTCACAGATAACTGCAGGCTTTACTCAATATTACTCAATATTAGTCTAAAGCCAGTCATCATTACCATAATGTTAGTCTAAAAATTAATGTAAATCAGATGAATAATGAAAAATAAGTGAAATGATGAAAAAAAAGTTAAAATGCAACTATTCGATGAGAAAAAACGAGCAAAGAGCAATGTTTGGTTAGGAAAATTGGTAAAAGTGTGCAATCCAACTTTCTAATGGATGAAATAGGGTTTGTACATTTTACAACTAAATGAATGCGTTGTTAATTAATATTGAAAATTTAAACAATATAGTGAATATTTCTATCATATTGGCAATTAACTGAAGTTTATCAGTTAATCAAGTATCAATAGAACTAGAAATACTGGGATATCGGAAGAACTTTTATGCTTACAACTCATTCATATTTGTTAACATTCAGTTTGATGTCACATTTTTATTATTCTTTCATCTTAAACTAAAAGAAAGTGAGAAAATAAAATGGATGACGTAGAAGAAAGGAAACAAAAAATAGAAAGAGCATAAAAATATTAACGATCTCTATAAAATAAATTTGTGGCACTGATAAATAAGGATGAAATTGTTATCAAAGACGTTGAAATTAAAAGCGCTCATCCACGTCATCACACGTCTGTTGGAATATCTACAAACGTACGTATCACTTCTGTCCCACAAGTAAAAAAAGCATGTTGAAAACATGCCGCAAAAAGCAAAATCTGATCATAAATTCTGATTGAGAGAGGAAAACGATCAGCAAAAATAACTGACATTAGCAGAAATATAATGTATTGGATAATACATTGTATATGGAATAATTTTCGTTGGAAAATGTCTTCCAAATAAATGATTTAAGAAACAAAGTAGGATGAGAACAATTTACCTAATATTGAAATTAAAATAAGCAAATGAACAACCAACAAAAATTACATGTGATATTATAATTAGTTTAACTCACGATATGAAAAAAAAGATTTAGACGAACTATTATACATAATAATGTAAATTACACATAATAAAAATAAAAATTTCTAAAAATACTGTTATGAAATTAATTACAGGAAATTAAATTTGCAATAGAAAAAGTAAGAAAGTAATTGAAGCGAATTTTTATTACCATCAGATTCTTTCCTTTCTGTTGTTGAAAACAGTGAACATTTTGTTAATTGCTAAATATGTATAAATTGAATATAAAAATATCAGGAAAATATACAAAGAGATGAATGAACACATACCACAAAAGTGACATCAAACATTCGTAGATATTATCATTGCCTTAAGTGATTATCATCGATCTCAGGAAAATCAGCCTTTGCTGTAATTTTAACAATTGTTTTCACGAAATGAACTGATGATTTATGTAAGAAAGTAAGGCGCAGCGAAGAACTGAATATTTCATTGTCTATGCAACAAACAGGATGTGTAATGTCCAAGAAATAAAATGATGTCATGAAAAAGAATGGTTCAAATAAGAGTTACTTTGAGGATCAGCAATTACTATTGCTAGGTTCGAAGCGTGAAATCAAGGAAAACGAAAATTTTCATTTAATAAGTGAAGGGATTGATATGAAAAATTAGATGATACGCTGAGAAACTGTATATTCATTCTTCCGATCTTAATTACAACTCTTCTCATTTCTCGCCACATTTTAACAACAGTTGAAACTGGAAAAGAAATCAATCAAACAATCTATTCCTTCCGCCATTCTTAATTTCATCTTTGATGAAATTTTTCATTTACAACAGAGTAGAATTAAGAAAGCCGCTAAAATATTACAAACTTACTACTGCCATTATTTATTAGCACTTTTTATTTGCGAGAGTGGAGCTAAAGAAAGAGAAAATGAAAAGTTTAATTTAGAGCAGCCAATAAGTTTCAATTATTGACAACGTTCAACTAAATACTTACAACTGAATAATTGTAATAATTTCACAAGTGAAAGGTATCTGTATTTTTTGCCATTCTGATTTAGTTTTTCAACACTCTACTTGACATCAATTTACAAAAAATAAGCATTTCGAAAACTTTCTTAATTTTTAGCCAGATGTTGGTTCAAAAAAAAGGAAGCAAAAAATGTATAATAAATGCAAGTTGCACCAATTATATGTCGTCACGAATTTCTGCACATATTTCTATTTTTATCGTTCATTTATTAAAAATAAATGAAAAATATCGTATTTTCATGTAAAAAAAATAATAAAATAATGCAAGTGAAAAATTAACAATTTAAGTATGATGCGAATTTGGATGAATACAGCTTGAATTAAAAATGGATAAATTATAAAAATTTTTGCCTGCACTACTCATTGATCGCTCAATTACGTCATTGCCTCTCTACCTGTTGGCCTTGGCAACATAATTCTATCTTCGATTGTCAGCAATCACATCACTCATTTCTCAATCATTTGTCCCAAATTTTTTTCATTCAAATAGCAAAATATACATATAAACTTATATAAACAGTGCTCCAATAAATGTCATAACATTTATTCATAATTTGAAAAATCATTTTCACTTTTTTTGCGTCCAGTCTATAGAAAGATAAACTGTTCAGGACTTATAGCTAATACTAACAGCAAGTATGTCTTAATGATAATTAAATTTTTGGCTAATAAGATCCCCAAAACTCTACTAGAAATATATGGCAAGCCTACGCTTGTTGCTGCAATAATATGATAAAATGATAATTAGTTATACTGATAAATAGCATAGCGATATGATAATTAGTGCAAACAATCAGAAATTGCTACAACAACAAAAATAAAAATGCAACATTATCATGAAATGGAAATACAGAAAATATGAATTTGTTGGGAAGAGAATCTAAAATTTAAAGCTTATTTAAAATAATGTTAACTCCGTTCTGGTGCAGAAATTAATATTATTTCATTTTAATAAAGTATCTAAGATATCCTTCAAATCTCGACATTACTGATTCATTTTCTAATCCCATATTAATACAATGCCATAACGACACAAATGAATGATTGTCTCATCGGCATTTTTGTATCTTTCAGTGAATTAAAAAAGAAAGAGAAAGAAAAAGTTATATGAGTGACTGATGCCACAATCCGCTACAAACAGAAAAAAGAAACAAAAATTTTCTAACTGCTACGAATGTTACTCAGCCTGTAATATCTTATCAGTTCGAGAAATCTCTCCATGTAAGAGACAATTTATGATGAAATCAGTTCTTTGAAATATTTAAGTCCTTTCTAGTGATTGACTATATTAAACTGAAAGAGAATGACTGATGGAACAAAGAATGATTGTACTGATTTAGAGATTGTTTCAAAAAACTTTTTGATTGGTATTATGTTAAATTCCAAAATTTTAGCCTGATTATTAAGAAATGAACAAATTCAATATTTTCGATAAACCATAAGTAAATAGAGGAAATAAGTTTGACAAGAATGGAGCACTAAACGAACAGACAAAAACGGCGTAACACTTTTTTTAATATTTGATGTTGACGAGCATTAATGAATACAATTATTCATACACACTAGAAAGTTATATTTTTATTTAACAATCAAAAAAAAGAATGTATGTACAACGGTGCTTCGGTTCAGGTAAGTAATTCTTGGAAGTCACGTCCCTGCTTTAAGAGTTCTTGACATTTCTAAGAAATACAACATATAGTTACTGATGGAACATTATAAATAACCCTCTTGACCCAATTTGTAAAACAGAATTTTTGCAAATCACTATCTAATTCATGAATATCTAAATTTTCCTCCATTTAACTAAAATATCCTTATTTAAACCATTAAAGTAGGACAAATTGCAAGAGTATTCAAATCTTTACTGAAAAGACTAAAATATTGTCCTATATACGGGTACTTCATTTATATTATGAAATGTACCACCTCACCAATCCTTGCCAACGCTATCCACAAAGTTGGAAAAACGATTTCACAGTAAACACAAATGCAGTTCATACAATATAAAGTTATGCAGTCTCATAAAGAGGAAAAAGAACGAACTTTAATAATAGTTTGTGGGTACGGTGGTGGAAATGGCAGAATCCATGCTGGAAGCACGGCGGTAGCATCTTCGACATCACAATAGCTTACCATAGAATAACTTGTGCTGGCAATTTGTGAATATAACAAGGTAATGCACTGTATCACGAAAGTAAAAACAGAAAAAACGACGAATGAAACGATGGTTAATCTTCGTTTAACCTCACTGAAACAACCTGAAAAACTTGAATACTGAAAAGGAATGGAGTCGCATAATGGTTATGAAAGGAGTGTAAAGAAAAACTAAAAGAAATGTAATTCCAACAAAAGGAATGAATCGCCTGCCATGTTGCGAAGAATGGTTTAAAACAGTTAGGATAAGACTTATATTAATAAATTCTCCAAAATTTATGATCTAATCTAGCTAAATGATTACAACAATCCACAAAATGTGATGATAAATGATAACTACAGCGAATAAGAACTTAAAATGTTATTTTGATAACTTCCGACTTGAATATTTAACGAGCCTCACCTGTAAAATGGAACCATTCCTTGGCTCTGTGTTTGCCAACTTCTTCATTTTTTGTATAATTTTGTAGCAGTATTAGTGAGGAGCATTTCAATTGATTGTTTATACAACATGAGTGTGGCAGATAACAGCCATTCCTCGTGCAATGAGACCACTGATTTTTCCTATCAGTTATCAAACGACTGAAATTTACTGCAAATTTTAAAATTTCTCATTATAAGGAGACGCAGTAAACAAGAATTGGATTAGGAATTTAAGCTGAGAAATTTTGACTTGTATGAAAGCATATTGATAGGCAGGTATTTGTTTAAGTTATTTGGTTAGATATTTATTTATCGTTAGAAGTCTATAAATTGTTGAAATAAATATTAAAAAAAAGGTTTTTTAATATCAGAGATGAGGAAAAAATGCAATGCAGATGTTTCTGAAAGAAGTTTAAAGTAAATCAATGAAGGAAAGGAATGAAGATAAATACAAAAAATCATTTGTAAATATAAAAACCAACATCTGCATGAAATATGAAATGCTGAAGAAACGAAAGAACCCATTTATTTCTAAACTTACGATTCTAATAAGCTGTTGCTGGCAGTTAAAGGGAACCAATCTTCGTAGCCAAAAACACCACAACATTCGAAAAACTCTTGCAACCAATTCATTTCACTACGATCTGTTTGTTTTGTACCAAAGCCAATCATGCGCTAAAATTGCACATTTTTGATAACGAATGGAACCCTTTAGAACCTTTTGAAGTTGACTTTTGTCTCTAAACTTTCTTGAAGAAGACAAAATTAGTGAGATTGTAATTTGAAAAGCTCACCTCAACTATTCCCGCTCTTAAAAAAGTATCGAACATTCGATAATGAATGACAGTGACAACACTGATCAATAAGGAAATAACAAGTGAGGTGATTAGAATTGATATCAACAGCTGAAATATAATAGTGTTACTTAATAGTAAATTGATGTACAAGGCGTTCAATGTTCATTTTAAATTGATAATGTTCATGATGATATCATTTAACACTCTGTAAACATTATCGATTTTCGTCTATTCCAGTGACCTTTTAAAAGTTGATTCGGTTCTGTTTCTTTCAGATAGTTTTAGCGAAATTAATAGAGCTTAATTAGAATATGAAGAAGAGAAATTGTATGAGATTTTGTTACCGCACTCGAAAATATAATTCCGTAGAAACAATAGGCTAACCTTAAGATACTGCGGTCTCCACCTCGAATAGGCTTGTCGTTGTTCAGCAAAAGCAACTATCGAGTAGACGTGAACTACGAACATTAATAAGTGCAGTAAGGCGGTCACGAAAGGTGTAAAGCCTATCAAATAACTAACTAATTTATGATGGATAACGAATTGTGTTATGCCTTGCCTGTAATTTCAGTGTTAAAACTTTGAATCTTGTTGATATAGGATGGCAAAGATGATTGCACGATAAACAGGAAAAAAAATGCTACGCTTTTTTGGAACCATGCCTAAAGATACTTGTATTAAAAAGAAAGACGTAAGAAGGCACGTACGTCAATGTCGGTAGCACTAAGAAATGATTAGCTTCATTGATAAAAATGAGGAATGCGGAGATAGCATGCAAAAAACATGCAGTCAAGGCGTATTTTTTGCGTCTCGCATGATCCATGCGCATCAGGGGATATACCATTCCTGTCTGTCATTTGCAGTTTTAGGATATGTGTATCAAAAGTTAGACAAAATTTTTTCTACATTATTACTGAAAATGTACACTGTCCACTTCTCATAAATTGCTTTTGAGCGGAAGTCTTGGGAGAAAAGCGCACCTTGCAGTTTTTCACAAAACAGCAGAATGAGCACCAAACGTCAGCCGATATGTTTTGTTACATCCTACAGTCAATTTATAGGAACTTTATAAATCTTGCCGTAGTAAAAATGTTTGATAAACTGATAATATCTATTATATACTTCTATCTACATAGCTTAATCAGATCAAGCACCTGTGTTTATTCTTTGTGAATTAAATGATTACTCTTAAAAATACGACCACAAACGAATTCCTCGTAAGGATACAATGACAAAGATGGGTTGTTCCTATTTGAATATCTTTAAGCATTTAGGATAAACAGAAGCGAAGTAGTGGGGAGTTGAAGTTAGCAAGTAAAGACTACAAGAAAAAAGAGAATTCTACAAATAGATATATGCTGCTATACGTTTCGCTTATATACTTAATATGACAGCGCATAAGGCGGTTACTATTGTTGATTAACCAACCGCATAAAATTAATTAACACCAAACATTAGATCTGTAATCTATCACTTTTCGTGATAAAACTGTACCCTGAAAGATGGTATGTGGAATCCGCAAGAAATCATCACAAATATTATACAAAAGCTTTGCAAAATCACTGTCACTAATTTGAGAATCTTAACAAAATTTGTTGGACATGTTAATAATAGAACTTATAAAAAAAACTCAAAATATCCAAAAATTGACAAAATATACAAATGTAATGACAAAAATGTTATAAATACTTACAAATAACGAATATGCAATAATTTTTTTAACTGATTCCCAACGGTCGATTTCTCAAAATCGATAAAATCATTCAATTAGATTAGGAATTACAATTCAAAAAAAAAAATTGAAGCATAAATGGAACCTAGAACTGCAACAACTTGCATTCTTCTTACAGAGTAGATCCTGTCTTCTTTTCACTGGTAATCTCACTGTGAATACATTTCAAATACAAATATTGCATAATAAAAAATCAAAATAGTATCAGGTCACTGTATATCACAAATTCACACCGATTTCGCGAATCAACCAAGATTTTTTCACAGGAATAGTAACATATCAACAAATTGTTGGGGAGTAACGCGCACCGAAGGTGTATCTTTCGATATGCATGGATGTCCATGGTCCTGAAAATGCACGTTAATTTTTTACAACAGAGTTTATACTTCAATATCCTCATTATGCAATAAAATTAGAATAAAATATCACTTTATCCTCACACACCTCATCTCCAATAAAACAATCCATTCACTTCTGTACCCCGATTAAGTCCCAACTAAGAAAAAAAATTAGATTCCCTAGGCGTAAGAAACATAGGTCAACTTCCTTGAAAATGCTAAAATTAATAAAACACTGACCTTCCAAAATATTGCTTTACAGTGACAACAAAGATGAATCAAATCAGCATAAAATTCCCGCAGTCCACAATATTTTTTAAGTTCGAAGAAGGCATGACGCCAGGAGATCGAGTTTCTCTTAATTTTTTTAGTCTGCTCCTGTGTAAAGTGGAAATTGCACAAAGATGCCCACAACTGTTCTTCTTTCTCGACAATGGCATCCAGAACTTCATGTGCTTTAGCAACTTCAAGGAGCGAAACATGGTCAGGAAGCTTTCTATACAAAAATATAAGCTTAAATAATTTGAATAATTAAAAACAGCTGGAATAGTGCAGTTTGTTTAAGGCAATGCTGAAACTAACTATCCATTTTTCTATTATGCTTGAACTTCTAACTGATTTCTTATTAGCCGAGTATGAGAAAACTATTAAAAGAGTTCTGCTAAGAAGCGGAATAATTATTGTTCATGAATGATTAAGATTTAAAAACTCTATGGGTTTACAAAGCAAAGAACAAATGAATTCAAATAGTATAACTTAAAATGTAGGTAACTGAAACATCTCGTGTGCAAAATACTAATCGAGGGAACAGTTTCCAGCAACTCTATTTTTTTATCATCTTATAGCACTAGTGATTTCACTAAGTTATAAGAATTAAAAAGAGCAAAAATACACCTCAAGATAATTGACAAAATTTCTCTTGGTAAATCCATAAATGTTATTGATTCTTCGTCACTATCCGCTAATGTACGAGGTCGTCGCTCGGAAATAAGTTCCAACAAATCGCCAATCATGTTTAGCTGCTTCGAAACTAATTGAGGCGAACCGTACAAGTGACCTTCAAGACCCGTACCGAAATCACAGACAAGAGATCGTGCTATGGATATGTGGAGGTCTCTTTCAACGCCTAAATATTCAAACAAACATTAGAATCCTGATATTCTAAAGATATTTTTTTTTTCAATATTTCTTCTCAACTTGGATCTTTGAAACGATTGTTTTTAATATATGGGGAAATGTTTTTTTTTTTCAAAATTACCATAAGCTTAATAGGAAGATGTACATGTGATCTCAAACGATTTATAAAATATTTTTTCTTTGAGTGAAATAAAACTAACATATAAGTACAATCGCCTTAATAATAGAAAGAAGGGCTTTTCGAGCAGTAGCGCTAAGATTCTGTAACTTCTCCTGAACGAGGATTTGCACAACCTACAAATAAATTGTGTAAGAAATGTACTTCCGGTTCATTAAAAAAAATATGCCTTTTAGACATTAATTTCTAATACCGAATGCTTACTTTACAGATATAATTGAATCTGCGAACATCGCTCACGGCTCGCGCCAAATCCAATCGATGGAATGCCTCACTCATACTTGTACATCCAACAAACTAAAAAAAGTGAATTACCACAAAAGAAACCTCAACAAATAAACTTACAAGTTTATATTAAGGATAACGGAAAATGTATACATTGAATTTAAAATGACTTTTTTAACTGTTTCAATTATGATTAAATCATGAAATCTTATTTAGATTTACACGCTCTGCAGTTTTACTAGAGTCCAAACCATACAAAAAATTCAAAGCTTCGTTTTTTTTTCAAAGCATCGGAGTGTAATACATTCAAAGAATTTTGAGATAAATATAAAGTAGTTATATTAGAGAGCTTGAGCATTAAAAAAACCGACATAATTTTCGAATAACTCGTATATGAAAACAATTAATAGTTTGACTATAAGAAAAGGTCGTTGTTTCAAAATGTTATATTCATCAACTTCAATACTGAAACACTTAAAAAATTCAATAGTGCTAACTTCTTTGGATTTCCCAGTTTTGACGAAACAATGTGGGATCCACTCATCACTTTCTGAAACTGAAAAATTTTTTCAATTCAAGTAAAAACTTAATGCAATCATCAAGTCGTTTTGATTTCGTGGAAAGAAGGGGAAAACTAACGCAGTTAAAATTAGAGAGTAAGAAACATCATTATCCTACGTTTCTTCTTTTATTCTGTCCCTTCAGAATTAAATAACAGTGCATCCTCAAACAGTAGCTGAGCACAAACAAATTTTTCATATATATACCATTCTAAACGATGAAAGTTTTCCTTCGAATATGATGTCAAATCAGGTGGGCAAAATGATAACAATTCTCATATTAAAATATATTTAACATATCTTCAACTTGATTTATCCTGCAACCTTCCATCAAAATGAATTATCCAAATCAACTTAGTCAAAAACAAAAAAGTAAGAACAAACACACTTACCAGAGTCATCAGTATCTGATCGTGGACAATTTTCATCATTACTTGAAAGCGACATCGAAGATATATTACGCTTGATTTTCACCAATGAACTGCAAACTGGTGACCGAGCTACATCGACTGCTTCTTCCACCTGCTATAATTAAAAATTCAACAAATATTGTTTTATTTCTCTCAGAGAGTAAAAATAAATTTGACTAATGCAGAAGAAACCTCTTACACTTTTACGAAGTTCGTATGCTGTGAAATTTCATTATCGTTGTGCTTGTTGGGGAATCATTTGTATGAAATTTTTTCTTTCTACACATATATTTGATGAAGAATAGAAATGAAAAGACTTCTAATTATTTAAGATTTTTTCTTCAAAGAGAATGAAAAAAAGAAACTTGTAGGATCAAAAATCAAGAACAGGAATCATGTATTATCACCTTCTATATAGAGTGTTTTTGAAAGGATTTGTGGCCGACATTTTTTAAAGTTATATTGATTGGTCGATAAAATGAGATCTCTTGTTTATAAAACACTTATCAAAGCCTCTTCATTTTTTTAATTGGACATGATATAGCAACTTCAAGTTCCTCGTTGAAGTTTGTTAAAGTGCGATGATTTATTGGCACTCTTGGCGTGCACTTAGCACAGATACCACTGAGAACGGACTGTTTACCAGTAAAAGAAATCATGCAAAAATGACTGCTTCTATCATGTGAAAAAAGTAATTATTTTTGGCACGTCATAACTTATTCGGCTTAAAACAAATTACTCTTCCAGAAATAGTTTTACGATACATTTATGAAGTGTGACATTAGAAATTTGCATCATTATTTCCACAAAATTTCAACAGTCTCTAACTTCTTTTACGGTTTCAGAATAAATCTAAAATCTTTTCATTCTATAAATTAAACATCTTTCTTCAGTAACAGCTCGTACCCTCTTTTTTCTGTCTCGAGATTTGAAATTAAACTGCAGTAAATCCAACAACAATTACCTGAATTGGTCGTAGTTTCACCTGTTCCCATCCATCGGTATTGGAGCACCATACCCAAGTTTCACCAGGTGCTCGCCAATCTTTTCCAATAAACGGCATTCTTCGTATTTTACAAGATCGAGATGATAAGTACAGTGAAAAGATGGGTACCCCTGAGGGTACGTACTACCGATTCTTCCTTCCAAACGAGTTGACCCACTATTCCGAAACGATGATAAAGTGTATTGGTCGTTTGAACACGAAATGAATCGAAACGAACCTGAATGGAATGGCTTACGAAAAACTAACCCACCTTTTCTCTTTTATCTCCTCTTTCCTCTCCAACAAGGCAAGCCCACCTGAAGCAGAATCAATCGATTAAAAAAATCTTCTTGAACTTTACATCACTAATGTTTCACGTCAAACTTTCACAGATAATCTCGTGAATGGCATGTTTATGAAGGCATTCATTCTTAACGATTTTCTGAAAGCAATCTTTGATTTGAAGAAATAAATGGCAAAAAAGAGAGAAAAGTACAATCATTATCAAACAGCTGCACATCTTTAAAAAAATGCAAAAAGTATGACAAGAAAAGCTTTCAAATTAACTTACGCTCAAAAAGAAAATGTGCAAGAAAATCTTGACAATTCTTCCGTACTCTTCACTGGAAACTTACTGAAAATCTCGATTTCACTTCTAAGAGATAAGATGGCATATATGAAGAGACAAATTCAACTGTCGCACATTTCAACTCATACGTTCGTTAATATTAAACCTTTTATTAATGCATTTGTTATGTCTAAGGTGAAAAATCGCATTTATACAGAGCAGCTGAAGATTGTGCGTGAAATTTCCGCTTAGGCTTTAGATGATAGCAAGTGTCATCTCAAGCCTAAACAAAGAATTTAGCATTACTTTAAGCTTCAATATCGCTTATCTATCTGTTCTACCTCTCTGAAAGAATGAAAATTTCAATGTACAAGAACTTAATGAAAGGAGCAAAATTATGCACTTTAAGTATATCTTTGATAGAACCAGTGCTATTTCTCTCAGCAACAATATGATTAACTAGATGAGTGAAGGTTGCACGCAAAAGGCGTTCCTCTCACCTAAGGAAAAAGAGCCTTATCGACAAGAAATATTTTAATCCGAGCCCAACGGTTGTGATTTCAATTATACCACACATCTCTCTATCTCTATTTGTTACCAAACTGTAACGATGCCCTATGACCGAGTCCTGAAATGACGACAACCAATGAGAATACTCTTTCCAAATCCTATGACCTATTTTCTTCCACTTCCTCCTATTTCATTTCTCTCTTTTTTTCTTTCACATAAATTCTCTTCTAAATGTTCCCACTTCTCTGCCCAAAACTTTTATTCTCTGATGGCCTTATCCTTCACGAAACCCGTTCTATAATTGACTCTTTACAAATTGAACAATCAATCAATGGTCAACTCTTAGCCATATTTTGTTCATTTTTTGCATCTAAAAATATCTCTAAACTTAACAAAGCTTTCAATCAATATTAACCCTAACTATTGCATAATCCATATTCTCTTCCAATTAATTACATATCTATTAATTCTAGACTGGCAATCTTTACAAGTTTATTTAAAAATCATAGACGGAGGCCACGCGTCAAACATTTGGCCAACCTGTTAAAATGGGAGATCATACACACTGCACAATGCGCTGAGAGAGTAAAAAAAACGAAGAAGGATGCAGTCGAGTAATTCTAAGCTAAATGAAAACCATTCCCCATTAATTGATCTATCAAGTCCTTTAGCACTATCGCACGTCAATGAATAATTATGATTAATAATTTTTTTTCTATTCAACAAATCGTTCCAAATTATCATCATAGATAGTGTTTGTTAAAGAACGCCATAGCAACAGCACAATGAAATTAATAGAATCTAAGATTTTAGAGAGAGAGAGAGATAAAGTGATGAACTATCTTATCACAACTGATACAATCCGATAAAAATAATTTTAACATTTAGGCCAATCAGGGCTATATTCGAAATCATTTAAGGGAAGAGGATGTCATTATGAACAATTACTTCCAGTCTTCAAATATCAGCTAACACTAGTCGACAAAAACCATTTAGATTCATTCAAAATTAATGTTCCATTCCATTGATTAGTGGCAGATTATCATTCAATACACAGCGATACCGTGAATATCGACTTATATGTAGAATGTGTAAAACGATATATTACGCGTATTTACCCGTTGTTTACAAAACATTCCATAAGTTCAGTTTCTAAATCACTTAATTCGCCGGTTACGTCATCACTCAAAATATTTACACCCAAGCAATTATTATTGACGTGTTTATGGAAAAATAGCATGCTAAACATCTATTTCCATTTCTCTTGCAACGAAAATATTTATTAGTTTAAAGGAGAAAAAAATCAATAGTTTGGAATTAACGATTGAACTGAATGGTGAAGTACTCAATAACCTAGTCAGTTTATTGATATTCTTACCAATTTGCTGTTCTCCAAAGGATATGAGAAAGAGGAGAGGGAAAGGGGGAAACAAAATGTCCTCTGTCCCCTAGATTTCTTGCATACATTGTGTCGTGTCTATTAATAGATACACACCTCACTCTGATGATGTAAGATCTTTCCAACAAGTGGAATTTCTAAATTGCATTTCAGCTCTTGTCTAGCAAAAGGAATTGGTGAATTAAATGTATGATAAGTTTAAACTCCCCAAAATCTGCTCTCATTCCCCGTTCAAATACAAATTTTCATTGTTAACCAACCTATCTAATTTCTTGTCGTTGATACTGAATAAACATCCATTGAATTATTAAAGGCAAGAATTGCTGCACAAGACGTATAAATTTTACCAGATATGCTGTTGAATGTTCAAAACAAACAATCGCTTTGGAAGAAATTTTAGAATGTTTATACAAAAGCGAGCATTTTTAAAAGTTAGAGTACTTGAATAAGAGTGGAGTAATTCTTCCTCCATAAATATCAAACAGAATCAAGCGGAACTAATTTATGCATGGAAATATTTCTATTTCACAAGTTGCCGTTAAATTCAAAAAATTTTTAACGACAAAATAATCAGCTTCAATATTTTGTGATATTCATTCAATGCTGTATTCCGACCCATATTAAAGACAGTGTTCCACTGAGAAAAGAAATACTTCCGATTATCGTGGTAATGGCTTAAGTCGAATCTTCTTTGTTTCCTGGTCGTATACTGCACACAAACCCAATTCTTTCAACAAACCATCTCGTTCAATGATTGCCGATGGTTCCTATAAGGGAAAAACTGTTCAAATTGCGAAATTCCAATACATAGCAACACATTCATTAACGTCAAATGAACAGTTTAAATCCTGACAGACATATATATATAAGTGCAAACCATGAAGCTAACCTCCGAAAGTTGAGCAAGTCGTAACTGATTTGGTGGATAACCTAAAACTAAATGTCGCAGGGCTGCAATTGCATAAAGTCTCTGAAATTATACCATTCATGAGCTTTTTTTTGCTCACATTTTTCAAAATATAGGGAAGTAAAAAATCGCATCATTTTTATTAAACAAAGTAAATATACCAAAAAAACTCTCAGAAAATTGAAAAAAGAAATTTTAACGACTACATACCCCAATTGGATTGTGGTTATCGCGAATGTACATGCAACTTAATAATAATGAAATGCCATCATTCGCTCCAAAATATTCACAGTTCAAGTCATTTTCATGACACAGAATACCCAGTAACTCTAGGCAGGACAATTTCATCATTTCAATCAGCTTCGCATCATCAAATGTGCTGAATTACAATATCCTTTGTAACTTTGAAGCATTTTCTCATAAATAAATAAGTACAGAAGTCCATTCATGCAATGTAAGACAGTGATAGTATGGAATTATAGTAAAACCTAACTTCATGTTAGTGTGCTTAGTGTACACCCAAACAATCATGCGACAGTCATTTGGATCAAGAGTTAAAAAGAATAACCTTAAAGTTATAGCGAAATTATAGACACAGTTTATGTTAGCTGCATTCCTTGGCAGCAGCTTAATCCCAGGTCGATCGCTGAATTTTTCTTGGGATTTGGAAATGCATGTTTGACTTTGGCATTTGCAATATTCGTAATGTAATATCTAAAAAATTTAAAAATAGATAAAATTACCAAGTAGTTAATTTAATAAATGCACCATTTCATTTTTTTCCAGTAACTCCCGATTCTAAGGAAACCTAGCATTATGATCAAGCGCAAAACTTCTACTAAGAAAAACTGAGGCTCAATTTTCGTTCTTATTGAAAGCCCATTAAGAAAAAGTATAGTAGCATTTCTCAAAAACTTTTCAAATAAACAAACTATCTTTGCCCTAAATTTTGATCTAGTTCATTCCTTATTTGATTCAAACCCATGAATTTGTAATGTATTAAAACTAAACAGTAAATTTAAAACCACATATAAAATCAATTTAGAGATGGAAGACAAACCCCCTCAACTATATGAAGAGTCAATTTCGCAGCTGTTATATCTACTTTAAATATTGCTTGATACTGCTCCATCGAAACCAATTCCAAAACCATTTCCAACGGGACATGAATGAGGAAGATGTTATTAATGTTATCCGTTCCTGTGTATTTTTCCATTTTATTATCTTTTTCAAACGTGCCAAATTTCATTAGTGCCTTCTCCAAGAATGTTAATATATATCGCACATTTCCACGAGCAAGCTAAAGTGAATAAGAAAAGTATGTTCATTTTGAATGAAGCTGCGAACAAAAAAACACGCCTTAGTATTCTGTTTTGGTTAGAAAAGTCCTCAAAATCTTCTTGCAAATTTTGGCCGCGAATACACAAGATCTCAGAGAGATGTAATATAAAATTAATAAGGGTAAAAACTAACTTTAATATCACAACCTTCTTTAGCAAATTCTATCACAGTGTCGACAATGTCAATAAATGTATCAATAGAAGAAGGCCCAAAGATTTCATCACAGACAGCGAGAAAATCATTATTATGTTCCAAATACTTGGCAAATACTGCTAACAACCAGGACCTGTATTAATAATGTTCTCAATTAAGGATTATAAGACGATTAAACATAATGACAGCTAAATTTGTTTTCCAATTATTTCACAGAACATTACTTTCCAAAAAAAAACCTCACCTATAACTAACAAATATATACGAAACAATCAATTTCTATATTCTCTGTAGAAATTATACAAATAGCAACGCGTGAGTCAAAATCATGATAATCAACCTTTTATCATAAGCTTTTCTTAGTGCCTCACAATTTTGAGGTTCACTACCACTCCTTGACGACGTATTCACTTCGTTGCTCTCTAATCTGAAAGACCGTGATAATAAACAACACACTGCATAAATTATAAAAAATTAGATGATGAAACTTAAAACTAAAAATTTTATGGCTTTAACGTCAGAAAAATTAATCAGCACACATACTTTTTTATATCACAGCAAACTTGATTCCATAAGATGCTACATTCAAATGCAACCTGATAATACATCGCTGCAAAAAATGTTATGAAATCTGTATAGGCTTAAAATTCTTCTGTAGCTTAAGAAATTAACTAAAATTTAACTACATATGACACAGATAACAAATTTTATCAGAAATTAAGTTAAGAAACGATGAAATAGATGAACCTATCTCATTTAAAAGCAAGCATTTATATTCCCTGAATTACTTCTCAGACTTTTAATATAACAAAGCCAATGAGAAGAAACATAATTAAAACAATTTCTAATTTCAGAATAACCACAATTTGAAACATGAATCAGCCTTAGCCCTTAAAGTAACTGTGACAAATTATTACGGCCATTTTCAGGCTTTGAAAAATTAATCACTGCGGCAAACGTTTCATTTTGTAACCATTCCAATTTCAAAATCGATCGTAAACAACCCTCCGAATACTCATCAGCACATGAACGAAGCCTAAAGTAAAATATATCTAAATTATTCAGCAAAAAATAAATTCTTCGAAAAAATTAATTTCTTAATGAGTTAACTCAATTAATGTCGTATTTACGACGTTTAAAGTCTTAACGATCTTTATCACTTTAACAATTGGTGATTACATAAAACAAATGTTGCTCGAGTCAGAAACTTCCATTCGGAGAAAGATAACCTATGGCATTTTGAAGAGAAAACCAAAGCAAGCAATTGTAAAGCAGCAGTTCTACTTCCCACATCCTTATATTAAAGACAACAAGAGGACGATGTATTTCACGACAATATAATGTTCAAGATAACTTTTCGCATATTCATCCAAAAATTGCAAATTAACTCGGTCAAACTTCCAAGTCTTATTAACTGAACTACCCCTCGTTCAAGCAATACGAAAAAAAACCCGAACATCAATGAAGTATTTTTACTTTTGCGAACAATTTGCCGCATTTACGAGACATTGCATCAATAGTTTGCGCCTCTTCTTTTCCTCGACACTTATTTCGAAACTTGCATCATATTCGTAGTTTTTTAATACAGCCCCAAGTATTGACCTCATGAACGAATACAGCTGTTCCACTTCAAAACGATCCAAATATGAACCAAAAGTACTCATCATAGTACACCGATGAAACGACTTAAGCCACTCAATATCCAGCTCCTTTGCCCTCTTATCAGTGATGTCCAAAAATTTCTCCTCGCACATGGAACAATCTGCAACATACAACTGCAATCTCACCAATAATAAATTCATCACCAACAATAGCTAGAAAATCCTGGGTTGTATGAATCGTTTTTCTCAAACTCATTTCAAAACCAAATTTATTCGAGACATTCACATTCAGATCGCAAATGCAAGTGCGAAAAAAAACACTTCCAGAATTCAAAATCCTTACAGAAATCCAAAAAATCTTTATTAGTGAGCCTCAGCAAGAATTCAATTTGCAAGAATTTACTATAGTTTTCACATCTCATTTTTTCAATTAACAATGTATCTGATGAGTATGAAGCATGATTTTGTGTTTCATATCCTTGAATCAAAGTGAATTCTAACTTTCAATCGTAATACTTGCTTGAATCTAAAGTAATTGTCATTATTGTTTCATGGCAAATGAGCTTATCTTCTTTCTAATCTATGCAGCTATATACGAAAACATGATCACTGAAAAATAAAGAGCAGAAGTAATAAAAAGTTGGTAGCATAAATCTCATTATTGCTTGATAATACTGTCTTCTCTATGACAGTCAGCACACAAAAAAAGATTCATTTTCAATACCTTCTTATATTTTTTTTTCGTTCTTTAATCTAAAACTGAAAAACACGTGAATAGAGCAGAAGACAAAATTGAGCAATCAAAATATGCTATGACATCAATTTCATATGCAAAACAAAATTGGTGTTGGTTCATCAATATTAAAATAAAATGACTAAGTTATATACATTAAATGAGTTGGGAGTTGCACATGAGAAAAAAGAATAACTGCAGTGAAGAAATTTAAAAAATTAGTCAAAGATATATCTGTAGATATCTTTCTTTTTTCACTCGACAATTTTCATTGATTCAATTTTTAGCACCTAATGTGTTTTTATAAAATTACTGCTATGACGTTTCAACAACTGTTGAAATACTTTATTGCACTCGACCAAAACTTTCTTGGAAATCGTGCTGGTTCCGGAAAATGTCCATTTTGAGTGGCCTAAGATTTAACTGCATTATATATTCGCGCGAATTTTGAGATTCTTAGTCTTGCTAATGAATTTGAATAATAGGTGCAATCTCAAAACCTAAACTGACCCTGTTCTTACAACAACAGAAAATGTGCTTTTTTCTATCAGACTCACTGAAACTGGAGAAACTATGTCGACCTTTGCCTTTGAATCACTCTAAAATAATCCCACGACTCCTTTTTTTCAGAAATGAAGAGAAAATGTAACATCTTGTTGCTTGAAGCCAAAAACTAACTTCGAGATATATTGCAAAAGTTTTTGTACCAAGCGACGGCCTAATTAAATCGATTGCCATGGGATTTTGATAGCAAATAGCTATCAGAGTTGGCATTAATATTGCCATTAGTTCACGATTTGAAAAATATCCCAGCGGTAAAGAAATAAGTTGCATTAATAATGAACGTTGCCAGCCAAGTACACAAAACATCTATAAAACAGAGACGGAGATTATCAGATTTTAGATCGAACTGATATTGCTAGCAAGCATTCTTACAGATCTGTAAACTTGCGGTTCGACATCAATAAAAATAATGAATCGGACTACCAATTCCATAACACTTAAAAAAATATTTTTCATAATCAGTTTCACTCCAAACGCTAGGAATCATTATCAAAATGTTTTACTTGAAATGTATCCAGTAATTCAGTGCAGAAGTGAAACATGCTCTTTGAAATTCAAACAAAAATAAGACGATGTCCTATTTGTTTGAATTTTATTTAAATTTCCATGACTTACTAAATGCATAAATCAAACTGTTTGAGAACTAACTTTAGCTCGTTCACTGGTAGTTGCAAAATACCCAATAACTTCAATGAGGAAATGAAGAAAATTTCTAACACACTTTTCCGTTGTCTTTGATTTTGACAGTTCCGTATTTGCAGAAATAACCTTCTCAGTTTGAATTATCATTGTCATAGTGATGTGGACCAATCGTAAACAAAATTCACTGTCCTCGAGACATTTCTGCAGAAAAGAAATGACTTTCACAGAAAAAAAGAAAAAAGAAATGTTTTACGACTGGAATCTACAACATTTCCAAGGACAAGACTATTGTGAAAAGCATTCAAAATCCTTGTAAAAGCAAACATCATAGAACAATTAGCAGAAAGCTTTTATCATTCGCAGCAAACGAAACCCAAACTCAGTAAGGAATAACAAAACGAAAAAGGTTCATGCAAAATATTGAGTAACAAAATACATACGATTGCCTCATAAGATTCCCTTTTTAAAAGCAAAAACCAGAGCTGGAAAAGCGATGTTGTCAGTAGCTGTGTAACATCGATTTCTTCACGTTGATTTCCTACCGATACAACAGATACTGTGGCTACAGTAGCTGATGAATTGCAGTGTGACAATATCATTGAATAAATTCGAATTGCGAGCTGCTGAATTGCTGCGGGAGCTACAGTACTGCAAAATAAAAAACAAAAAATCGTGGCCGAATTTCGATTTAACCGTAGCCTATTACTGAACTTCAAGCTAATTGCAACAAACTTACCTTAGGAGTGGCGACTTTTCAGATGATGTTCCTTCTGCTTCATTTCCTCTAAAATATAACAAAATGATAAAATTAAATAAGAAAACAGTTCAGCACAAAACTCATAAAACGTGCAGTGGTTGAAAATATCATTTGTTATTGTGAAAACAATGTGGTCAGCTCTAGTCCATCAAGACAATTGAAGCAAACACACCTATAACTCTTTAAACATCGAAGATAAAAGCATATTAGCTTGACCTTGTTACTGTTCCTGCTATCTCGGAACTTTAAGAACCTGACTTCTTATAAAACAAGACCAAAATAAAAACATTTTAACCCTTGTGTCGATTGGTAACAATAAAAGTTCTTTTTTCAAGTTGTAGGTCACGATTTTCAAAATATAACATCATATTACCATAGAACTTCACTGAATGAATGTACATATAAGAAACGTTTTCAAATGTAAAATAAGGACAAGGTGGAAGAACAAGGTAAATATCTTCAATGTTTAAAAAAGTTGTTAGTCAAATAGGTGAATTAAACAGTATGAAACACTAAAATATTTATGATAAAACACATTCGCTGCTAGCTAACAAACCTTTTCCTACAACCGAGTAAGTAAAGTGTTTCTCCAGCTTCCAAAATCATATCAATATAAACTATGATAGGTATCGCGGTCGAGTTAGAATCAAGTTGAACTGACCAAGGTAATGCATCAATTGCGCCCGTATGTTTGATGAGGAGCGAAAGAGTATCGCCATAACCATTTGAATAAATTAAGCTATAGAATTAAAGCATTAATAAGCTAAGACACAAGCCATTAAAAAACAGATTTCCGATATAAGAACATGTCAAAATCAATGAAGTAAACTGACGTCGTCCTGTATTGCACTGGTGAAATAGATGTGCAACAGATGGAATTTTTATTTACCTGATGCTAAGACTCCGATTTAGAATTTGAAAAATGGCTTTGTGCACTAGAGCAACTCCATGTATTCAAATGCAATAACATGGAAACTAGACTTTACCCGAATGAAAAAATCTTCCGTTATGCAACAATTTATTAAAATTTTCCTTGTAAAATGTAGACGGACTCCATAAGTAGAACAACAGCAAAGATTAGAAATACATGAAAACAAAACCTCAGTAACAGTTTTACGTATATATCGTCATCTGTAATACCAAACACCATTGCAGCACTTGAAATTTCTCCCTTAATTTTTGGATACAAAGAACCCATGATACATAAAAACGTCGAACACAACACAACACACTCAATTAGAAGTCGGTGAGATCCATCATTTGTTGGCATGTGTGAGGTTTCTTTTAGAAATTGCTAAACCATCATATGAAAAATATAAATTACGTAGAGAAAAATATTAAGTGTAAGAAAACTTATCATAATAAAAAAAAATTTATTATAATCATTAAATATTAGCTCCGGGATGGAGCATAAAATTCTCAAAAATAATTCTTTGAGGGTTGTATTACATTAATGTGGTGATTAAAAGCAAATTTCTTGTGAAATTAAAACATAATTATAACCATTATGAATAAAAACAAAAAGTAATTTACAAACAACCTACTTTAGACTTGATGCAATATGCATCTAAAAGTGCAAAGACGCGATTGGAGAAAAAGAACTTTGAAGCAATGAATTTATCGGCATTAGCAAGGTCTCCAAGAGCAGATAAAGCTTTACAATAAGTTCTGCAAATATAAACATAGTAAAAACAAAACTATACAAATCTGGAAGCCCTTCAATCTATCGAACGTAACACTACCCTGAAAATGAGAAAAATTGCTGCAAATGATAAGCTGTGCATCATATATTCTCTCAACACATTTTTTAAGAACGCCCTTCCAATAAAATTCTATTTATCAAGAGGGTGGTAGGGAATTCACAAAATAAACTTTACTCATTCCTATAAAAAACTAACTCTCATAGTGAATGCAACACGCACTTATTTAACGATAATAAAAGAAAAACATAATTAAAGTGATCGTAACTTACAACCTGGAAGGTATCACCGTACTGCCATTAGTTGCACAAGATATCAGTACCGTCAGAATATCTATAAAATCATTCTGCACTACTGCTCTCAAGAGCATTTCACGTTTTTGCACCTGAAATTAAGGAAGCTAGAATAAGAAAAAGTCAAAAATTTTTGATTAAAATTTTGTGGAAATCAATCAGGAAAAATTTGATTCCGAGGTGAAAAAAATCAGGGAACATACCGTGTCGGATGTCCGCAATGCTCGCAGAATTTCAGACAGGGATCTTTCAAGGACATGTAAATCGCTGCTTGGATAAATTTTATTCTGAAACGACTCCTTCACCAATCCACTGCAGTAATCCTTTATTTCACCATCCTTCAAAGTTGCTTTCAACACTTTTGTGATATCCCGAAGAGGCCGATCAATACTACAATGTCAGTATTTTAATTTTTACCAGAAATATGTATGGTTTGCGTGATTATAATTCAATCATCTATTAATTTAGAAACTGCAATAAGCACTATACTTAACTAGCTGAATACCTTGTTTTTCCGGACGGAATTCGATAAATTTCAGATAAAGCACTCTGTTCAATTATGCCTTCATATTCTTTGGCTCTGCAAATTAGGCATAAAAATATAACTTGAAGTTCAGACTCAAAAATAAACATTAAGCTAATTACAGCTTATTTTTTACCTTGCCTGGATCTTCTGTCGTAGACGGGTTCGACGTTTCTTGGCACTCGAACTTTGTTTTGAAACTTCACTTTCGCCTCCCAAAGATAACTGTCTGGTTGCCTCAACACTAACATCTTCAGCATTTTGGTCAATCTGTGCTTTCTAAAAATGATTAAATGATCAAAATTCAGCCAGTTCAAATTTAAAAATTCTAATTCCAAAAGTTTATTTACGGCAAGCCATAACTACGTTTATATGCATAAAAATTCTGTACATATCAAAAATCGTTTATAAAAAATTCAAGAAATTTACATACCAAACAATCATAAGTCAGTTTTTTGATGTCAATATTTGCCTTCGACAGATGAGAAGTGCTAAGGAAATGTGACATAATTAAAAAGTCACTGTCCAGCTAAAATATTGAACATGAGCATAAATTTAGTTTGTTAACTACAATGTAAATTTAAATAAAAAAACCAATAAGGACCTACAGACCATGAACTAAGTCTTCGGTATTATTTCTGTCCAATTCTAAAAACGAACCGAGAAAACATTTTCTATTTGGAAATCTGCGAATAACGAGACGAAGAAGTGTCCCTTACCCTTTTAAACAACCGATAAACAGAATTAAACGCCTCACATATTTCTGTTCAAAACTACCACAAAAATATCAAAGCGCTTTGGGAAAAAAACACTACAAAAGAGCTGACCGGAATATCACAAAGTCTGCATTTCTTCGAGCTTCCACCACCAATTACACCTTCGAGCATTGAAACATAGGGAGTTTCCGAAGGCATCTGGCTAAAGTCGACCAAAGAAACCACTGATTCCATCGGTCTTGGACTACTTAATTCAACAGCACGATGCTTCACTTGTGTCAAAGTATTTTCATAACGACGACGTGTTTCTTCTTGCTGAAAAATTATAAAATTTACCAAAAATCTTTTTTTTGCTTTTTTCAGTCTTATCTTTTACTTTGCATTATGGCAAAGCACATAATTGAATTAATTAAAAAAAGCATAAAGACAAAGGATGTCCTAACATGCAAAATAAATGAAAAATCCGATTTGTGTATTCAAGCACTTAATCATATTATACTAAAGAAATATTAACCTTTTCCTGGATCTTCTTCATTAATTTCTCACTTTCAACAGCTTCTGTTGCTTTCTTTTCTGCGACGCGCTCATTCATTTGCCTAAAACATAATTAGAATTCGCGTTTCATGAGTTAATGATTTTAAAAATATAGGTAAATTTCAATTACAAAAACATTTCTGTCTGGGAATCGTTACTTATTTCTTTCTCGAGCAGCTTCACTTCTTTCCCTTTCTTGTTCGTTACGTTGCGCTTCGAGCAGTTCGTGCTTCACGAATTTTTTTTGTATTTTTTCTCTTCGTTGCTATAATGATTGAGATTATGTATACGTCTGACCATTTTTTATTTTTATTTAATCTTTTTGTTGTCTTATTACACAAGGTGTATTTTGAAAGACATAAAATTATTACATTTTCTGCAATTTTTCGCCGTTCTTCAGCTGCCGCTTCTTTAGCAGCTTTTTCTTCACTTTTCCTAGCTCGTTCATTCGCAATCGTTTGTACTCTCTGTTCCCATTCTTGACTACGAACCATAACATCATGTCGCATATTATCGGCTTCTATTGTATTTATGAACTGCACTTCCATAACCTGCAAAACTTACTTTGTTAACAGTTTTTTACACTCCAAAATTATTTAAGGTCACAAAATTCTTTTAAACATTCAGAAAATGAGCATAATACGAAACAAAGACTTAAAAAAAACTACAATTTTGTGAAAATCTTAAATTTCCTTAGTATTTTCCATACAATTCTTCTCACAGTTAAAAAAATCCTCGATATCCAATAATCTTAGCTACAAATAACTATAATCTTTCAAAAAATAAATAAATAATACAGATTCCATAAACTGCAAAAAGTGTACGAAATTTAAACTTTACCTTGACGTCATCATCCCGTGCTTTCTTCACTTTTTCCTCAATATTTTTTTGACGATTTTCTTCAGCTTTCGCCATACGCATCTGCAAGTGCTCACGCTTTCGCTCATTCAGTTCAGCCCGCTTTCGACGTACTTCTTCCACCTATAATACTCACTTTTGGCTTTATGACAAACTATCTCAGCTTTATAAAAAAAATATATCAACCTTATTGGAGAGTTCTTTCAATCGTTTAGCTTTCTGCTCCTGCAACATTTGACGCAATTCTTCAGCTCTTCTTTGCCGTTCTTTATGTCGTTTTGTCGCATCTTCAGTTTTTCTTCAAATAAAATTATGAGGATTCAAAAAAAGAACCAAAAATAAAACAATTAGAAATACACACAAGCTTTTTAACAGAAATATTAATTTACCTTTTCCTGCTCGGTGAAGATAATTTTTCATGCCTTTCAGCAAATTCTCCCGGCTTACGATAACGAGTGACTTCTCTTTCCACAATTTCACTCCAACTTATCGATGCATATTCCTCCATTTCTTCTGCAAATTGAATTGAACAAACAGTGACCGCTAAAAAAATAACAAAACAAACAAATTAGGAATAAGTAAATCAAACATGTAAAGCAAATGGAAACAAACGTTTCCAGTTGTTGACGACATCTTGCCATGTTATTGGGGCTTTTCTGTTACTACATAATTCTGACTCAGCAGTTTCCTCACATTTATCCTGAAAATATTTCCTACACAAAAGAAATATTCCATTCGTATGCTCCAATACGAAAAATTTTCAGATGTTTAAAAACAGGTCATAATGAGGAAACTTTGTTTTATTCATAATTTCAAAGCAATCCCATCGCTCTCATTGGATAGAAAAAGTAAAACGGGCTCCTTCCTCTTACTGCACTATAGTTTTGCGTAGTAAGATCTAAACTAGTTACAAATGAATTCAAAATAAGATATAATTTAACAACCTACTTTTCCTGCCACCTCAGTTTCTAATTGCTCCAATGCTGCAGCTTCAGCAGCTACTTGTCGTTCCAGCTCATCATCGATAGAAATACTTTCTTCCTGTGACAATTTTTAATTCGTTAATTTCAATCGGAAAAATTTATAAAATGAAACAAACTATTCTGCATAAAAATCAAAAAGGTATAAAACGACAAAAGTCATTTAATAATTCCGATGATTTTGCATACAATTCGACAGTATACCTCTTCAATTTCTTTCTTCAAACTTTCTTCTTCTTGCACTAATGATTCCTCTTCTTCTGTCATTGCTCTCCAAGCATCATCCACGTCTATACCATCGGGCAGTACCAATTCGGATAATGGTGGTTCAGATCTTAAATAAAAACTCTTATTTCGATATAAGAATTTTTTTAATATAATATGAAACTTTAGTTTTTTTTCAGCTACCTGCTATGAGTAAAATAATCTGAACTGGGATGATTAACAATAGAATCCTCCAAATCAGCAGGGATATTCTCACGCTCTTCGTCATTTTCCGATGGTAATTCCTAAAAAATCATGCAAATAGGTACAAAATTATCTAACAATGCAGAAGTAATCATGAATGCTATTGGCAAAGCAACAGAAAAATAATAATAACATGCCACCTACCTCTATGCGCTCAAAACTTGCTGGTGTATTTCGTTCCTTTATTATTCCAGCAGCTTCATCCTTTTTCAGTATTTTCTGCAGCAATGATTTTAAAAAACAAAAAAAAATTTATTTACAACAACAATTTACAGTGTTAAAAAATGAATTCTAAACAAGTAAAGCATAAAATTATCGGATTGAATTATGATAATACTCCATAATCTTCACTTCGATACTGGGATAATCTCAGGAAGCCAGAAGCACAACATCATAAATACCTTCCGATTTTTAAACGCTGCAGCACTACGTGAAACAGCATCTGGATCTGCAAAATTAATTGCCGAAAGAGCAGGAACGGAACCAGCTTTGCGAGTGCTCTGCAAATCTTGACGACGTCTTCGTTCCATCTTCTCTGCCAAATCTGATTGATGTTTTTTCCACAGTAGCTGTCGACAGTAAGCAACTTTTGCCATAGACGCCTGAGATAATATACGCCTTTTACTTAGCTCACTTTATTTCATTTAGAAAACAACAAATATGACTATTCAATAATAAACTGGGAATAAGAATAAAAACGGATAAGAAACGAATTTTTTTCCATATGATTGAATGGAGTTGGTAAAAATTCATAACCCACTTTTGTTTGTGGTAAATCCATCGCACACCTAGGATACATTAAGCCTCGTCCACCTGATTCCGAAAGAAGTGGCGTACGAGTCGACAAATTCGGAGGTCGCAGGACACCAGTTGACAAACGCTCATAAACATTCATAAAAGTCCTTTTTGGAGACGCCTGCGCATTCTACACAAAAATATCAACATTTTTTTAATGAATGGAAATGACAAAACTTCAAATCAAATTCAATTTAAATTTCAAATTTAAAATAAGTACCGTCAATGCAGCACCATGTTCTCTTTCTTTATTATTAATCAGGACAGAATCGGCTTCATTACTCTTCCGTCGCCTATGTCGCGTCGTTACTAAACGCCATCCATCATCACCCTGGTCTTCTTCTATAAAAAAATATTCTGATAGAAGTCTCCAGGAATCTATTTTCAAATTTAAAAATAAGCTTTTATTACTATAAATGAATAATATATGCAGAAATAATGCTTTAGTTCCTGTGAGTTTACATGAACGTGTAAAATTTTTCAAAAACTGAAGTGCTCAGCTGAATTATAGGACATGTTCAAAGCATGCACCACAATAATACCATTAGAATTAAATTTCTTTGCCGATTAATTAATATTAAGTGAAACGATATGTAAAACAACGGGAGATTTAAGATGTGGATCAGAAAGTGGTAATGCAACACCTACAAAGATGTGAGGCCATTGAGACACATTAAGTATCGATTGCCACGTAGGCAAAATGTAAATACGTATGAATACAATATCACTTTGTGCATACTGAAACAAGTTTGTTCTGTTTGCTCTATTTGATTTATTTAGGCTGCTAATCAACTTCAGATTTTCTACAGCATAATTAGAAATAAACAAAATAAAAATGTGTTTCAACTTATTGAATTTACTAACGATGATAAGCAATAGCAAGATAAAGAAAATGAAAGAAACGAAGAAAGAATAAAACTTGCTCAGTTCAATCCCTTTCTTCTGATTCTCCTTATCCGATAATACTTCATTACGCTGTACTGCTGCTGTTGAAGAGAATACAGATGATGCCGATTCTGATAATTTAGCATTCATTTTTTTTTCTGCACTCTGCACAACTTCATGCATAACGATTGGTGATCTGCAACTAGTCACATCCCATAATATATATACAAAAAAATGTTACCTTATTAAAAGCTAAAGATATATGTACAAAACAATCTAAGTCAGAGTACTAAATGATATAATTTTTGTAAAAAAATATGAAATTTGAAAAATAAAAGCTTTTATAGATGAATCTTTTCAAAACAGGAAATTCGAAAATATTAAAGTAATATTTGCAACATAGCATTAGCCGAAAATGTGATAAATCTACGATGCTTACCACAAACAGTTTAAGTAAACCTAGCAGTTTCATATCGCAATATTAATCAAATGTGGCCAAGGAATGGCATTGTTTCATGATAAAACGGATGCTTAAAATATCAGCAGCAGAGTCAACTGTCTATAACCTAATAAACAATTTCTAAAAAGCACAAAATATGTAGATGGAGGAGAACGTCAAGACGTTAGTAATGTTTTTGCAAACGAAAAAAGACTTATAGACAAATGATTAAAAATACGAATCGTAAAGTTAGTCAGAACTCTACCCATAACACTCATAAAGATCTCTACGATTTTTACATCATAAATATTCCATGCAAAATTAGGGAACTATTTCCCAGCAAGTAATTTCAAAGAACTAATAAAATATTAAGATCGTATCAACGCTATGAAAATGGACTTTAGACTTATCCTTTTCAACAACAGTAAAAACATTACAACCTCATCTTAAGCATTAAGATTGCCAAAAAAACTGTTACTCAAAAACTAATTCGAATTTTAAAAATACAAAGATTTCAACACCAACTTGCAGACATACCAGGCAAATCTACCAAAAGCAACTCAATATCTAATCTCAAAAGCAAGTATAAGTTTCAATCCATTAATTACACATGTAACAGTATATTGCTCCATTTCACTTCTAAATTGAGTTCTTGCTAACTCACTCAAATAACTTGAGAAGGTATATATCTTAAGTCTTCTTAAGATGATAAGCATCACTATGATCTCATATTCTGTTGATATCACAGAAAGCCTTAGTAACAAGACTATTATTTCGTAAACGTGAAAATCTATTGTGTTATCAATGCTTCCTGAACAGGAATAATAAAGAGATGCAATGAACATTTAAAGGATACTTAAGAGCATCTACTCAATCACTGATGGTACTGCATATGTCGAAATCACACTACAGACTGGAAAGTTGTCTTGAACGTCTGAAACATGAACTGATTTAAAGTAAAACCGTGTCAAAATTGTAAGAATTTCCCCCCCCTCCCCCCAGACGTTTTATCTTTTCAAAGGAAGGCCAAGAAGATCACGGAAACAATAAAGTCATTATTAGGGTATAATAGACATGGCATTATGTTTCTCCTACCTTGTCTAACACTGCGAGTTTTGTTAGATAACGTAGGAGAAATGTAACAAATGTAACACTTTCATAGGAAAGCCATTTTAAAAGTTTTGATTGATACCTATTTTTTGTACGAAATATTACACCTTCATGGTTTACTTTTCCAGTCGCAGGTCTTGACGGCAGTAATGATATGACATCATAATTATTAAAATAGTGGCATCATTCGTTATCAGAACAATCAGAAATTGCAATTTCTTATTTTGGTCCACTAACAAGCATAAAAGAGAATATATTCTATATCTAGCTTACATTTGTTTGAAATATATTTGCAAACCCGAAAAAATCTTACAACTGTAACCCCTTCTGATGTTACGAAACTCAAACTTTTTCCCAAACAAGCAACTGCTGAAGTCAAAAAAGAAAATCCAAGAGTTACAATTTAAGCATATTGATAAGACTGTCAGTATCCTTTTTATCCGGTCTTTCAACGGTTGTCTTTCCAGGTGGTGATATTGCTTTTCGGATTTCCCATGCAACTGCGTGTCGTCTACAAGATAACAAAATTAGAGAGAGAACAGTTACAAATTCAGGAATTACAAAGATCAAACAAGCGAGCTCGATATTCCAAATGGTCATCACTCATTCATGTCAATCACTTTTTGATAGATTATCCAATAAAAACTTTTGAGTATATCACAAATATAAGTGAAAACAAGTACGCACCTACTACTTTTTTCATCCCAAGCAACTTCCAGTTGAATTGTTTTGATAAGCGATTCGAAATCGCGAACAGAATTCGAAAGATACATCAGCGCTTCCTAAACATGTGAAAAATGTAAAAACCAACAGTGTAAGCTTTTTATTTAAGCTGCTTTCAAAATCCACAATCCTTCTCTTTCCAATGCAAGAAAAATATACAAGGCAAAGCATATTAACTGAGTAATTCACAGTGTGGCAGTTTATTTATTTGAGATTAAGTACTTGTCGTCTCTAATTAGGTAGTTAACACCTAAATATTAATAAATCTAATTAATAATAAATGATCCGAAACCTTGCATCCATTAACGGTTTGCTCTTTGTGACACATTTCATAGATACAATCAATAGTTCGGTTAAGTGTTTCGATGTAATATGTCCACTGCTTGGCTTTTTCCCTGCTGACACCAAGTTTCTTTTCAGATGCTAATGAAGGTCCCTCGTAAACTGCATCGGAATAAATCTGTTTAGGTATTAAATATGAGCTGTTGTCAGACATCCTGCCACATAAGTCCGATTCACTTATCAAATCTGACCTGAAAACTTGATTCAACACTGACTGTACACAAACTACCACGTCCAGATCAATGATTCAAAGCGAATCACAGAGTTATAGGATGTCTCATGCCCTTTGTTATTCTATTTAACCTTACCGCCTTGATTTTCTCCGGATAGATATCAAAACAAACTAATTATCAGATCTAAATTTTCTCCTATCTCAATACCTAACTAATCATCCATCCAATCAAAGCAATCCTATCGCGTGACGTCACACTTCCATACCTCCTTACCAACTGATATGAAACGCGGTCCGGCCGAACTGAAATCAGTAATGAAATCAAAAAAATCATCCCGACCGCGCTACACTTCACGATTATTGGAATTTGTGTCTGTAAAGCAGTGAGTGTGGTAATATTTTTGTCCTGTAAACTGATAATCTCCGATATGTTCAGCACATTATTTACCCCTCTACAAATATATTTACAAAAAATTCTATAAACAAAGCCAACCATCTCCAACAAGATGGGGAGGAAGATGGCATTTGGTATAATGTAAATACCAAATGCCATCTTGCTCCCCATCCTGAATACTGTTAACTTCGAAAATATCCATATTCTGCTATTTATTTGTATAATTTTTAATTGGCCACACCTCCCAAAGCAAATAACGAGAAATCTACAAAATTATCATAATTCAATACTTGCATTTAGAACAATGGCTTATAAGTACATAAAGTGATAAATCGACGAGGTGAACGACTTAACGATAATAGTTGACCTTGAAAGTGTAGACAATATAAATAGGTTTACAAAACTTTAAAAATACAAACAATGCACAACTTATGTAACATTCTATTCTGCCAAGCCGGTCAAATAAAAGAATAACTCATCATTTTGAAATTCGTAATGGACTCCGCTAAAATACGAAAATTCATTCTAAAAAATCCAAAAATAGATTCTGGCTGAAGGAAAAAATTACAATTTTGTTAAAATGGCTTCTTCACATTCTGCATAACATTTGAATGCATACGGTCAACAGCTAACGCACGACACAAAAAAGATAACATAGAAGCATCGTGAAATTCGCCTGCTTCGATAGATCGTACACCATGACGTTCCGATGGGAAAATCTGCAATGAAGTCATGACAGAAAAATCAGGAAAACAAGTTTTTAGTAAGAAAAACTTCATGATAAAATTAGTGAACTCGGATTTCAAATTTCCTAAAGATGCTCTTCTCTAATCACTGATTGCATAAGAGTTATATTACTATATTCTGGGTGTTTATTTTTTAAAATGAAAAGCTACTTGATGAAGCGTTTATAACCCCTTTACCTACTCTTCTAATCTCACATTGCATTAATGATTTCTCATTAATATACTTCTAAAAACATACCTGCAAGCGATGCGGTTTGCCAGCCGCAATCAAAGCCTCAATGAGACGCTCGGTATGAGAAAAATGTACATTTTCATCGATCAAACCGTGAACAATTAACAAACGATCAATTCTAAAAAAGAAAAAAATTCCATCCAGCACGTGAAATTTAAAATGTGAATAGAGATAATGAACACACATTCACAAATTATAATGTTACCCTGACAAACAGGAAATACCAGGGAACACTTACTCATTCGGTAACTGATTAACATAAGTTAGAACTGAAGAATCTTTATAGATAGGATCCGACGGTAAACCCAAGTAACGTTCTGTATAGGCTGTATCATAAAGCCTCCAACATGTAACTGCACCACCAGCAATCGCTGCTCTATATACATTGGGACTTTTAGCGAGACAAAGCAGTGCCAAATAACCGCCGTATGACCAACCCATTACTGCTACTCGAGTGAGATCTAATAAACCATCAGTTCGTTTTGCTACTTCTCGAAGACCTTCTACTTGATCTTCAATTTCCACAGTTCCCTGAACAAAAGGAAGCTACTAGAAAAGGATGAATGACGAATGAAGTAGCTTTCGCAAAGAGAAGTTAATTATGGATTCCTCAAATATTTATAAATTTAAGAAACTTTTAAATTATATATATATATATATACATACTAATTCTTATTAAATATAAATCTATGCTAATTCTTTTTACTTACCAGTTTATTTTTTAGGACAGCCTCAAATGAAATGCCACGGTTTGACGAACCTCGTCCATCAACCATAAGCACTGCATAACCAAGACTAGCAAATTTCCGAAATCCAACCCATCTAAAAAGAAATGAGTATTCTAAAGGATTAAAAAACAAATTGAAAGAAAAATTGAGAGATAATAATCCCGTCTAATCATAAACCCATAGATCTCTTCAGCCTTGTCTTGAAACAAACTATTAGCATATGTTTTAATAATAAAGGTTCAGGATATTCAATACATAAAACGTATGAAATCCTTTTTCAGGATTGCATGCATTTTATATTTGAAATGAAGTTTTAAGGCGATATCGAAAGAGGAACGAAACTGACGTAGACCAGGCATTACGAACAAGTTGTACTCCGGGTCCACCATAAACAAGTTGAATAACAGGATACTGAAGTCCTCTAATTGCTCCAAATGGTTTGAGTAATAATGCGTAATGTTTTCGCTTAGAATTTTCTGATTGATATTCAATTAATTCAGGGTACTCCTTAGCTGCAGCTTTTGGTACACATATATTTTCTAAAATTTTTTTCAGCAAAAATTTTTTACATGTAAACTAATGAACTTAAATCTTGGAAATTAAATAAATGATTTTCTAAAGTCTCTGCACATCTAGATAAATAAAACAAAAACAGTCATAATCACAAAAACCTTAAAATAAACTGTCAGAAAAAGCGCTTAAGCAATATTCTCCCAACATGAAAGTGGAAATGGAAAACAAACCAATTCTTCGATTTAATTCATTAGTAAGACTTGGCTGAGGCAAATAAATAAGATGCTGCAACGTTGCTGTTGGTAATCGATCACCATTTAAATGATTCAATCGATAGAATGCACATCGTGGTGGCATTTGCAGTGAGCTTTCCCAGCAAACAAATCCAATTTCTGGATTCAGCTGTAGTTCACATTCCATTCGTTCATACCTTAAGAAAATTTAAAATGAAATCTCTTCTGAATTTAAAGTACAAATTTGGCAGTCATATGTCTTCAGTCAAGGTATAAAATGATTTAAATCTACGCAATTTCACCAAACCATTTGACGAAAAAGATAATAATATAAAAGATAATAATTTAAGTCTTTGCGCTTCAACAGAAAAAGAGTTAGAAATAACTATTTTTCTATAGAATTGTAAAAATAAGAAGAGACGTGCCTGTATGAAAGGCCGATACCGCTTAAAATTTTAGAATCTGTCGATAAATCGCTATAGCATACTACGCACCTGCAATTATGATGTAATAAAATGTTATCTAAATAATCCACAAAGCATTGCAAAGCTGCTCTTTAATGGAAATCAGTTTTTTACACGTTTTTTTACATTTACACATTGTGTAATAATTTGAGAATGCTAGTTATATGAAATTCAATTGAAGCATACAAATTAGCATCAGATGGATGGTATTTATTGGCGACAAAGTAAACATGCTTTCTCTTTTCATCAACAAATAAACCGGGTTCTTTTAAAACCGACCAGTCTCCAGCAGTTATTGGTCGTGACGAACATGTGGCTGTTACATGAGCTGAAAAATGCATACAATTTTGAAAACACAAAGCATTTAATAGATAAATCCTTTTTAATAAATATCTTTTAAAATATGGAAAAGAATCTTACTCTCATCAAGTTTAGCTGTATAGTGAAATAAGTGAGTATAATCATCACGATCACTTGCATGAATAAACTGCAAAATTCCTCCAACAGGAGCTAAAAACCGAGTCAAATTATTTACCTGAAACACGAATACTCTCACAATCGAGAAATAAAGGTGGTCGGGACAAGTGTAAACAACTGCTTTTTTTTCAAATGAAAAACAGAGATAAAAATATTGTCTTCAAGATATTATCAAAGTTCCGATGGGTATGGAGTACATCAGTTCCAAAACATTCACTTACATTAAACCAAATTTCTGATTGTTCTTGCAGCAAAGTTACTACCTGCGCACCATTTTGATTATTTCGTGATCCAAATAAACTCAGTGGAATCAAAACCAATGCATATCTATTTTGTAATCGACTAAGTAGCAAAGCCCAAATCCTTAAGATGAACAATAATTAAAAATGATTAATGGAAACACGGAGTTAGAAGACTGGCGTGGAATAATTCTAGGATACAAAAAAATTACGGATGAAATAAGGTAAGAATCAAAAACATACGCGCTTCCATCGGGTAACCAACCAACTCGTGACAAGTACTCATACCAAGGATAAACTGTTCTAAGTTCTATGTTCAATTTCTCATCAGTGATCTAAAAAAGAAACGCAGCCATCGCATAACAGAATAATTACAATAAAGTGCTCTAAATGTACGTTAGAGACTGCTAGCAGTCTATATTAGTTTTATAAAACAAGACTGCTAAGCTCTATGAAGTAGGAAAACGTTAACTATTTTCGAAAAAAAAGACGAATGAATAACCGATAAATTACTTTGTTTTCGTCAATGACAATTAAATGCAATGTAGAAATAGCGTTAGCAGTTCCAGCAACAGGATATTTCATTGGTCGTGCAGGCGAGCAACCTGGGATAGTAAACTGTAAACCAGTAACAGCTGTTTCGTCCACTTGTTCATACAGAAGCATTTTTCGTGGGCCAGGAGACCACCACATTCCCGTAAATCGATCTAACTCCTCTTGAGCAATAAACGAAGAACATCCATTTATGATATTATCTCCAGTTGACGATGAGTGAATCACTTTGCCTTTCCTTAAAAATTTGGTGCACCAACAACGTGTTAAAATATCAAATCAAAAAACATTTTGCTACGTGGGACTTCCTAAACTATTCGCAAAACTGATATATTTTAAACAGTAGGATGTAAATCAAGTTTCTATTTGTGTCACTTACCAGTCAATATGTACATTGGAATTTGCTACAAATGCTACCAAGTCGCTGTCCACGGGACATAGTTTTGCATGCAAAGGACAACCTTTTACACCACTTCCTATTATGCTCTGTTTTTGCTTCTGAAAGCCTAGTATGAAATAGATAAAATAGTTACAAAAAATGAACTGCAACTAGATAGCAGTCAAAAAAATGCCCTTTAAAATCAATAAAATTTAAATATTATCTTGTGTTCCACGTAATTTAGAAAGGTAAATAACAACATATTTCAATAAATCCATTTAATTGAATACGCAAATATTATTAGAAATCCATACAGAGGAAAAGACTCTATAGATAACTGCAGCATTCCAAATATGTAGATAACCATAAGTATAATACCTGAATACGATATAAATTAGTAGAATCGGAATATAAGAGTGTAGATGAAGTAGGATCAAAATCATATGACGATATGCCAGATGAAACCGTCGTTCTTTGTCTCTCACACAATGCAGCCAATTCAGCAGGTGGTGGTCCACACTGAAATTAAAATTAAGCTTGACTAACATAATGCTTACGCCAACCGACTAAACCGGAAATGTTAGTTGACAAATTGTATTATTTCCAAAACCGACTTTCTGGGATTTTCAAACGCCTTAGATACCAAAGCAACGGCAAATGCAGTCCCAAGGACTTTTCGTTATCATATTTCGTGAAAAACTGCGAAAGTTTAAAACCATTCCTTCCCTTCCCCTAATATTTTGAAATAAAGTTGTTTCACCAAAATTGTATTCTTACATCTGGATTAAAAAAGAAAGAAAATCAAGCATTGTTCATTAAGCCAGCATATGAAAAATAATTTTAGATTCCCATGTCGCAGAAAGTTTTGAATATTTCTTATTCAAAATTTAATCACGAATGTAAAATATAAAAACTATGGCAAGGCAGATTTAAAATTTTTACTGCCGTTAAGTTCTGTGTTTCTATGCACAAAAATTGTTTGATCATACACTGTAAAAAGCATTGAGCATAGAAGTAATATCATTCCTAAAAATTGTAAATCGCTAAAATTGTGAGTATCCAAAGTTGGAAATTCAAAGTAAGTTTGCGACACACTTATTCTGAATTTCTAAGTTGGATGCTTATTGCAGAGAAACTATGAAAGTCACAATTTTCTAAAAATGAATGTCTTCTTATTTATAACCCTAAAAACAATCGCCACAAATGCATAAATAATAAAAATACACCAAGGTCCTTTTATATCAATTTGTGCTGATATCAACAATCCAAAAATGCATCAACTAAAAGCACTAAAACGAAAGCAAACAACCTCCAGAGCAGTTGCTACGTAGAGAAATATTTTTGCATATAGTTATAAGTAATATAAAGTATAAGTCCGTTGATATCTGGTATTTTTGTATGTTACTTAATTTGGATAAAGTAAATGTGCACAAATCTACAACATTTACAAAGCGTTTCTATCATTGCAATGGATGAAATAATTTTAAAATAAATACGAACCTTACTAGGTCTCGTGTCTAAATATGGAGACAAAGTCAATTTGGCCACCGAGCTAACCAACGGTGAACAGGTTAATGGCGCTGCATAGATGGTTTCATGAGGAGACTGCCCTGATCCACCCAGTGCGAGCATCCGTTCCGCACCCGAATGATCAAAATATAGTAAAAAATGATGCAGTGTCATATTCATCCGTTTCCTGCAAAAAATGTTAAAGATTCATGCCTCATTACCTACTAATTTACAAATTATTGTTTAAATCTGAAGCAATACTTGCCTGCAGAGTTTTTATTTAATGTTTCTTCAGAACCAGAAATCGAATTTCAATAATGTCACAAAACAAACATCTAAAGTCGGAACCTCCTATTTTTGCTTTATAATTGAAAATATAGAACTTATTAAAAAAAAACCTTGAGCACATAGCTACTCTCTTCCAACTGTTAACATACTCCTAATTAAATAAATGATAGATCTAACTTTGAAATGTTCCGCCATAGACGAGCATGCGAAAGTAATTCACTCCAACTCTTTTCTTCTACAAGATACTGTCCATCATGAGGTGGCATCACGCACCAATCTCCTGAAAGAAATGCTCACATAAAGTTGAAGTCCTCTAAAAAGCAGTGTAATGAAAAGCTCTACACAAATGACGACAACGTCCTACTTCAATTAAAAAAAGACATAGCGGAGAGACAGTTAGCAATGACTTCTCCGCACTCTGTCCATCCACCGCATCAACTCACGCGCACCTCGTAAATTCGGAATCCCAACGAGGCACAACTTGTCTCCGCAGGAAGTGCGGCCCGCTTTGTTAAAACTGAATCTTTGGAGTTGAATTTTGGGCTAGAAAAGTGTGAGATATTTTTAAATTAATAGAAGTTCTGTAAGATATTTGTTGACTGAGTCGGGGTGGCAATGAATCAATCGTTTTATAAGCTCCAGCTAAATTTTTGTCTTTGGTAATTTTAATCATTGCAAGTTTTTTTAGCTTTAAGTTCAATTGATGGATTATATGAAATGGCGTGCTAGGAGATTATATTGCATACATTCTTTTTGGAAACGACAGTTGTCCTCTTGTTTGCTGCCGCAAAATGTAAAGGGTTTTCTAATTTTTTCTGCATTAAATTCCCATTGAATTAAAATTCTATGTTGGAAGTTAAGATGGGATGTTTTCAGAGGTGCTATAGCCTAATAATATTATCCACTTAGTAGGAACTTTGTATAAAATTGTGTTGGGCAGAAACAGTGTGTCGTTTTGAAATTAGGCAACATACAGAATTATATTATTTAAAATATCTATAGAGCTTCAGATTTTGAGAAATTTCAATAAAAGAATTGATTTAATTCATTTTGTAAATTTGCAATTACAAAAGAAAAGAAAATTTTTTGCTAAAGTAAGCAGACAATTATTCAAATATATGTTTAAATTGTTTGAACTGATTAGCAGATATAGAATCATTGTTGAACTTTGCAGACTATCAGTATATTATAGAACAGTCATAATTTATTTAGTTCACAGTCAAGTACCAATCCTTTGTATTGACGTCACCTCAAACTACGGAGAGATCGACGCGTAAATTTCATCGCCCATATCTTGCTGTCGAAGAAGTGTTCAGTACACGGTTGCCCAGCTTTGTCAGGGATAAGTTGAAAGCACTTCAGGTAACTTTCTTATGTCGCAATATCTTTTTGCATAAAAGTTGCTCGTCAAATCTATTAAAGATACATCAAGCTTAAACTAGGCTTTGTTTTGCAGTTTGAAATTATGGAAACTCTTGTACGAAATGCAGAAAATAGCCCGTCATTATTATCGACATGTTTTTCAAGTTCAGCATTTACGAAAACCTTTCAAGAAATGGCTAAATATTATTTTGATCAAGGCGGAAAATTGTTTCGGCCAACCATTTGTTTGTTGATGGCTAGAGCATGCAATCAATTTGAGCCTAAATCGTTGGTTTTTGTTCCATAACAAGTATTGTTAATATTTTTTCAACTTGAATGGCTTTTATCTTCTGAGTGGTTTTTATCTTTTATCTTCTAATAGCATATATTATAAAAATTGTTCATTCTGCAGTTGCAAAAAACCATTCAGTTTACGAGATCATTTTACAGATTCACTTCACGTTCTTTCCCTTTCATTCATCTTAGAAGTGAAAGATTGTGTAATGTACAAATCAATTTTAATCTCTAGAACCACGTGGGTTTATCATATTTTTTTTCAGAATGCTAGTAGATTCAGGTCGTGAGACGGTGACAAGAAATCAGTACAAAATAGCAGTAATATCAGAAATGATACATACTGCATCACTGGTTCATGATGACGTCATCGATAAGGCTGATATAAGACGTGGAAGTCGAACTGTAAATGCGCTCTGGGGCAACAAAATGGTAATCGGTCTGTTCCATAGTTATCTTTTGCTGAAATTCTAGCAAACACAATATTCTAATCAACGACGAGTCATCCTAATTATAAATTTTGATGGCCTCTTACCACAAACCGCCGGTTCATCTGTGCTGGAAGAAGTAATGTCTTTGATATATTGATGTTATTGCTAAAGGCTTAGAAATTCAAATCTTTGGAAAACATGCGCGTTTTTAGAGAAACGTTGATGAAATTCCATGTCAGTTCATTGTTCAACATGGAATTCTATCAGAACAAAATGTCGATTTATACTTTTCATCATTAGATTTCAAGAAAAACATCATAGTGATTGTTTTCTTGTTTTCACTACATCTCTTTCATAGAAAATATCCTCAGGCTGTACTTGTGGGAGACTTTATTCTGGCTCGTGCAACACAAGTATTATGTAGCATCGGAAGGCCGTCCGTCATTTCGGTCATGGCAACTATCATCGAAGATTTAGTGAAAGGAGAGTTCATGCAAATGAATGATGGGGCAGATTTAAATGCTTCGCAAAGATTTAACAAATATATGGCTAAAACATACTCAAAAACAGCGTCTCTTTTCGCAAATAGCTGCAAATCAGCTGCAATGCTTTCAGGTCAGTAATTCCGCTAACTTCGATAACTTTCTAAAGCTTGTGCTAAATTTGTTTTCGTGTTTGTGTGTAACATGATATTGATCGCACACAAGTTCTACTTTATTCGGAAATCTTATTCAAATTGGATTTTAGATGTGTCGGAGGCAGATGAACTTTCCGCATATGAATATGGAAAATCTTTAGGCATCGCTTTTCAAATGATCGATGACTTGTTGGATTATGTTTCGACATCATCCGTTACGGGAAAACCAACTGCAAATGACCTCAAGTTAGGTAATTCATTTGCATATAGTGAAAATTTAGCTTGCTCTATAATTTCTCACTCAGATTTGTCGTTCCAGGATTTGCAACGGCTCCCGTTCTCTTTGCTGCTGAAGAATATCCCGAACTAAATAAGCTAATAAAACGAAGTTTTTCTAAAGAAGGTGATGTAGAATTAGCTTGGGAAATTGTTGGTAACAGTGCTGGTCTGGAAAAAACACGAATTGCAGCTCGGGAACATGCTGAACACGCCGTCAAAATGGTATTAGCAGCATTTTATAAATTTATCCATTTCTTCATAATTTTCTTGCCATTCTTTAATAAGAAATATAAAATATTTCAAATTATCAACCTATTTTATGACCCCTTAATATTTTCAGGTTCGCAATTTCCCCAACGGTGATGGAGTGCGTGATCATTTAATACAAATAGCTTTAGCACAAACCGAAAGAAATAGGTAATCAGAATGATGTTGATGTAAAACTTATTTCTAAAAAATTAGAAAGTGCTTTAAACGTAAGATGTAAGGATTCGGCAAAATGTTTTTTTTTCTCGGTACCTTATTTAGTTTCTAAAGAAATTTAAAACCCCAACACTAAGAAAGGCAATAAGTGATAAATACAGTAAACATCGGAAAAATGTTTTCATCTTTCCAAATAATATGATATAACACTGTCGCACGAAAATTACATAATTTTTATATTTGAATATACTCTTTGCATATATATTGCCCGCGTTGCTAGTTTAGAGTGTCAAGTTACTGCGTAAATTACAATTTGAGAATAGTGGAATTCGAACCAGAAATCTTACTAAATGATGTATGAGACATGACAGGAATATCATTTACAAGCAGGGTGATGAGTTCCTTTAAAGATCTTTCTTTCAAGGATGATATTCTTCACATTTGAGTCATATTTTTATATAAGATGCTTGACCTCTTTTCACCATTTTCACCGTTATAATTATCATTTGTCATAGCTATGAATTCAAATTTAATAGGTTATTAGGAGTTATGTTTTATTTTTCAAATCCAATGTACGCTGACTGCCTTTTCAAAAAATTTGATCTGAAGGTTCAATGTTTTCTTTGTTTTCTATTTTTATCCGTCATTTAGGTTAGGTTAGATTGAGCCTATATTATTTCGTCAAAAACAATATAAAAATATTTTAATATTCTATCAGGATTGCTCCATAGCTAGAAATTCATGAAATATTATTTCCCACATGAAATATGATACACTTCACTACTTTGAAATTAGAGAAATTGAAGCTCCTTGACCTCTGAATTTAAACAATAGGCTTCATTGCACCTCGAATCCTATAACGACGAATTGAGCGGAAAGTCAAAAAGAGCTATGTGCTGACTTCTCTTTAGTCTATACTATCCTTACTCAGTCCCGAGTGTGTCAATTGTTTCAAATGACTTTTTCCATATTGTGCTTATTTTAGATAATCTTCTGGTTTGTTTTTAGGAAATCTTTCGACTATTAGACTACCAATAACAGTACGTGTACTCATTCAGTAATGTGAACGGTGATAAGTGATAAAACATTTTGTTCATACAAATTCTGAAAATACAATTCAATTTACAACTAAAACCTTGTAACTAGTAATGTGAGCCTTTTGACAGCATTTAATTCAATCTGAGCCCGCAGTTGACAGCAATCATTTCTAAGTGAAACTATTTCGGACAACAAATTATCGCGTTCCTTTTCTTTTTTTTGACATTCATCACGCCAGTATTCCTCCCCATATTCGTCGACATTTTTCAAAATTTCCGTATTATTGTTCTTAAAATAAATTTTTAGGAACAAGTACTAATATTACATTGCAATAGCTTCAGTTTAAAATGATATCTGTTTGGCTATTTATCGTTCAATTCTAAGGATGCTAAAGAGATTTTTTTGCAGATCTTTAAATATATGAATTTGAAAAGTAACGGTGCAAACCTCTACTAAGGTAAGTTTCAAGTTTGCGAATTCCGCCACGAATTTTAGGAAGTACAACTGCACAATGATCAAGCAAGAATAAAAAAAGGATTGCATAAATCAATAAAAAAGTTTACCAATACTTGCCTATTCTGAGGATTTAAATAGTTACGATCTCAATAAGAAATTTATTTAAATGATAAAATAAATTTCCAGTTTACTAATAAATAAACACTGGTGAGTGTTTATTAGTAAGTTGGAAATTCATCTTATCATTTAAATGCAGCTAATAGATATGGATAGCTAAAAATTTATTCTAAAATGATTATAGATTTATCTTCATGGATGATTTTTAGTTATCTCTATTTTTAGCTGCACTAATAAATGTGGAAATAGAAAATGGCTTCCGGTTTTAAGAAAAGAAAGATCTTACTTCACTCATGGTATTTAAACATTGATCCAAAGCAATTATTTCTAATTTATGACGGGCAATGTCCTCGCGTAAAGCTGTACAAGCGGCCAGTAACTGTTTCTCCTCAAACATTTCCAGTGTTGGCGTTGGACCGTCATTTTTTCGTGTTTCGATTTTTTCCATGCTTTCCATACGTATACTTTTCAGCTAAAGTGGTATAAATGGGAAGAGGCGCATTAATTGGATGCAAAACTCAACAAATATTATATATCTAATGATGAATAAAATTAATTATATAAGCGAACAAACAAATGATGTACAAAGAAATATCTTTTAGTTAAAACTTCAAAATAACATTGAACAGTACTGAAAATAATTACTGTAAAAATGAAGACTTCCTTGGAAAACGCTATAATTTCTCGGACATATTACAATTAAATAAACAAGTAACGAATAATTTGGGAGAACTTATTGCAAATGAAATAGATGTAAATGATTATGTATTTCGCTCATTTCAACATATAAAAACAAAATAGAGATTCTTTGTGTTCAATTCCTATTCTAATTAATTTTGCTTATTTTATTTGCGAAAGTACCATCATCACTGTTTAAAAACGTCTAAATATGAAAAATAATTTAAATAAGTTTTAAGCCATCATAGCCTTAAAACATAAGTGATAATTGAAAACTTTTTCTCAGCATAACCGAAAATACTAAAATAACCAAAATATTGAAAAATACTAAAAAATACTAAAAGTACTAAAGAAAATACTGAAAATACTAAAATAATAAAAAAATACTAAAAATATTTAAAAAAATTTTTTTAATGCTAAACACAAAAAAACCTCTAGAAAGGAAGTAAATCGAAGAATCAGGGACAGTAAATGATTCAAGCTCCAAAAACTTAGAAGTCAGGAATCTACCGCCCTCCTCACTCTGTTAGATGTTAGATACATAATGTATTCAAAAATAAATTTAATAATGGTTTAATTTAAAAATGAGGCATGTCCAATTATCTCAGAAAGTTCTTAAAATTTTTATAATGGCGCATGGGAATGATGAGTGCTTTTAATAATTTATTACAAGTTTCACTGACCATAAAAATGATTTGTTCGAAAAAAAGAAATCTTGAGAAAGTCACAAAATTTAATAAGCAGTTCTAACTATGAATGAGTTTTCCTCTAACTTTCTTAAAGCTTCAGAAAAAAAATTTATTCAGTAAATGTTGGTAAATTACATTTTGGGATTCATTTTTTAAAGACTAGGAATGAATGACAAGCATCAGTGCTGAAAATGGGTACAGGATATGCTTACTGCCTGAAAATTAAATTAACCGAGCCCTGAGATCTGATTCGTTCAATTTCCAACTGCTGTTCAGAACTTAACATATGCTTACAACGAATTCTTGAAAGCAAGTGAATTCAAGGAAGTACGGATAATAAATGATACATATAAACAATTTCAACCTACTGACGTATAAGAAATAAAACATTTACTTTTCTGCAGAGCATCGTGATTGCTGTTTGTACATCCCATAACTCTTCTTCTGTTTGTTTCGTTGATAAATTTAATTCTCGAAGATCTTCTATCTATAAGTTTCAAAAATATAAAAAAAATTGAATATGTAAAAAAGCAGTTTTTAAATAATTTTAAAGCCAAAAACACTAGGCATGAATTCTTCGAAAACTATTGAAATATTTTGAATTTGATACAAATTTTCGATGTTTCAAAGTTTTTAAAAAAAACTCTCTGCAATATGCAATCAGAAAATATCAGAAAACATGTATTAAACTATGCATCGTGCTAATGGAAAATATAATATTTGATACATTTCTTATAAAAAATACCACCACAGATGTCAATATTTTTTGGTACTCAAAACAAAAAATGTTTGATAATAAATCTTAAAAACTTACTTGCAGATGAAGCTGTTGCAGACGAATTCGTTGTTTCCGTTCTTCATTACGGAGTTCTTCTTCGGAATCCGACAAATTTCCTTCGCAAATAATTTTTGGTGATTTTGGTGCCACATATCTTAAGGCATATCTGCGCTTAATTTACATCCAAGCAGCATTCGTGGTGTTATCTTGATAAGAAGATACTATACAATCAAAAAAATTCCTAAATCTTGATTAACTTTTGGAAATTTGAAAATTAAAAATCGAGCGCTGACTATTTTCGAAGCGGCCATAAGATAATTCTCATTCAGATTTCACTATACTATGGTACATTTTCCAAGATACTAGAAAAAAATTTTTTTTTAATCGAAAGCAATAAATATCATAGATCATACTTGGAAATATATCATCATACTTGCAAAAGTAACAAATGTATAAATATAATAAATTTGAATGGAACCCATTATTTATTCAAATAAATAAAAATTTGATTTTTTACTCATGAAACAAATTAATGTTTAATGTTTTATGTATTGAATAGAATTTTACAAGAAAAAACTGGTGCACGAGAATGTGAAGAGAAAAAAGAAACTGGAATCCAAAATTACGATAATGGGCAGAAAAATTAGAGGATAATTGACGAAAATGTCGAAATGTTGGATAGTGATGATAATAGCGCAATAAAGAGGATATAGAAGGAAAACCAGAATAGTAGCACTGCAGGTAGCAGTAGTAGTAGCAACGACATCTCTTAGTTGACAAAATCCATTATATTTTCTTTAGAAGGATCGAATTTTGGGTCGTTTGGTGACTGATACAATACACCGCCATCATCAATTTCACCCCACCATTACTATCAAATTCTTTAACGATGACTCGACTGACACGGGTGACCAGAAATGAAGTCAACAATTCCAAATCAACTTCAAGATCTATAAAGAAACTCTATGAAATATTTCTGGCTAACATATCTAACCACTATGAAAGATCCACGAAATTCCTACTTCACTCGTCAATTTTTTCCTTTCTTCCTATTCAATCTTTACGATTGCTTCCAAATATTGCAAGAATTGAATCATACCAAGCAAGAACTTATCATCCAATAGTTAAAATTCATACGAAAGAAGTATACATTCAGAATATTTCAATTAATTTTTATTTACTATTCAGTTTGCTGCTACTATTCGTAGCGGAAGCGCAACAATATGATTCGGTACCCGGTTGCCCTGCTCTCAGTACAATTGCAGATGCTAATTCTTACAATGGAAGCTTTTGTTTCTGCAATGTGCGAGATAAGGATTCTGTAGATATCAGCTGTTTGTACAGTTCTACTGTGCAACAATTCAAAAGATCACTCTCAGCCGCTAGTGCTGCAAAAAAAATTGTCAAACAGGTTGGTTTTTTCCGGAAATCAGACAAATAGGAATAACTATATTTGCATCCTGAAATATTTAGAATTTCCCGAAAAAATTGAAGGTTCTAATTCTTAGTATGCCATTTCATCAAAAACACAAAAACTTGATTATTTAATATATCAATCCATAACCACTTCGACATTCTCAATTATTTCAAGTAATAGCAATATCACTTTCCGATATTTTTAGGAAAATTCAAATATGTTTGATAATTAAGGAAAATTATGTTCCGTTTAATCGGGTTATGAATGATACATAATTAGTTCCCTCTACTTCGTGATATCACTCATCCAAATCATGAATTTTGAAGGTGACATTAAATCGTGTTAAATTTGATGATGGCATGCTTCCTGGAAAAATTTTCGACAGTCTCTATGCGCCGATAGAAATCATATCCATTGGTTAGCTTATCGATAAATTAATTACTTTCTTTCTCATTCCCTTATTAATTATAACAATATCTGGCCTTCCACTGTCTTCCTAAAATACGAATTCAAACCAAATTTTTGTTTAGCTTTCTCAATTAAAAAATTTGAATTTCAGACAAATGTGCTGAGAGCATTCCCCTGAATATTCACGACGATTCATTCCATGGCCTAGCTGATCACTTGCAAGAACTTTACATTACCGATTGCAACCTTGAGCAATTCCCACGAACAGCAATTCAAAATTTAACAAAACTGAAAACTTTATCCTTGGCTTATAACAAGTTAACTAGTTTGGTAAGAATGGATTTCGAAACATTAAGGAATGTAAGTTTTATTAGCAAATTTTTTGGCTCAAAAGCTGCTTTCAAAAACAATTATTGCGTGAAAGATCAATCTTTTAATTTTTAGAACTTCGTTAGGATTAAATGAGAAATTACATCAAGATTTCATTTTATGAATTTAGACTAGTATTGTATATGACCAAAATAATTAGTTACATACCTACAAAATATCATTCCTCCAATTCAAACTGTTTTCTTGCCAATGACTTCTAAGTCAGAAGGCTTCACTGAAAATAAATCCAACCCTTTTTTTAAAATCATTTTTAGCTCGAAATTCTGAATCTGGAAGGAAATTTCATATCATTGTTGGAAAATGGGACATTATCGATACTTCGCAATTCATTAAAAAAGCTCAGTATCGGAAAGCATAATTCATTCAACGATATCTTCAAAGAAATTTCACAACTCAAAGAACTTCAAGTAAAAATTAAATCGTATGAAAATTTAAGTATTTAAAAAATTTTCAAGAAAACGTTGAAAAAATGAAAGAAAGGTGCGAAGAAAGAAAACTTATTATATTATTCATTAATGTTAAAACTCGACTTGAGATGTAATAGGTCTACTTACAATCCGAAATCGATATATCAGGTTCTAGATATGGGCAGAGCTGATGGAATCACTGATCTAACAGAAGGAATATTTGGAGAATTAAGCAAACTGGAGAAGCTATTACTACCCGGATGTAGTTTGACAGTTATTCATAAGAACACTTTCCAAGGTCTTATCAAACTAACGGAGGTACAATTTTGAAATTGTGTGAATAAGTGGTGGATATATGAAAGTAAAGGTGCGATTGGAAGTAAAATAGTTCACAATAATTAATATATTATAAAATGGGAATGGAAACTTATAGCTCGATTTACGAATCAATTTACTGAATGAGGTGGAATGCGGAAGTTTTGCTTGGACACCAAATCTACGACGTCTATCACTTGCCGGGAATTATCTAAATAAAAGCTTAGCTTGCTGGTGGGATGGATTGGAACATTTGAAAGAGCTCGATCTCGGATGGAATGAATTTTCGGTTTTGGAAAATAATGCCTTCTTTAAACTTGGTTCATCACTTAGCTTTCTAAATCTTCGGCATAATAAACGACTAATACATGTAAGTTTTGAATCATCAAAATTTCGATGGAAAATAGAGCTTAAATTTCGAGTAGAAAAAACTTCACTTCAAGAAGTAATATTAATTTCAAAGCATTATAAAAAATTATATAATTTATCCTTACCACTCAATTTCTGTAATGAACAGAACGTTGAAGATTGATGAAAATGCTTTCAATGGACTCAATAATCTCCATCGCTTAAATATGAGTGAAACAAGTATCACGGAATTGAATAACACCCTCAGACATCTCCCCTCATTAAAGGTAAGCAATCAGACATAAAACTGTTACAAGTGAGGAATTAAAAGTACTCAAATCCTGAACAAAAAAAAACTTTTCAAATATTCAAACACTCTTTGCTTGATCTTAGAAATTAGAAAGGTCTTCTTTTATAAAAATTAACCATCAAATGTTGAGATAGTAATTCATTAAAAATTTATAATGAAAATTGGTAATGAAATCTCATTAAATCTGAAAGAATGAATTTTTTAATCAATTTTTTGCAAATTTAATCAAGAAATTAAAGGAATTGGATTTAAGTAATGGACAATTGCAATATATCAAAGAAAGCGATTTGGAAGCTCAAAGTGAAAAGCTAGAAGAGCTAATATTACGCGACAATCAGTTGACAACATTATCAAGAAATGTACTAGAAAACATGAAAAATTTACGTATACTAGATTTATCAAATAATCAATGGTTATGTGATGAAAGCATGGAAACAGGTATGCCCTTCTAAAATCTCAATTTCACTGGGCTAAGAAAAGTAATAAATTTGCTAGAGTAGAATTATAATGAACAAATAAAAATAAGTTCATATTAACTAAAGCATATTTCGTTAGAACTATTAATGACACAGAAAAATAAAAGCTAGGAAATCTAAGATGAAGTAAGTAACCCTTTCCCTTCTAAGGAAATATTTATAATCTTATTGTCAAACGAATAAGAATGAAGTTATATTTAATTTCAGTGGTAGAAGAAATTGAATTGAAGTACAAAGAAGCAATTCTGCTAGATCAAGACTTTATATTACTGCACGCTAACGAAACAAACTGTAACCGTCCGTATAGTTTACAAGGACAAGTTATAATGAATGTAATTAAAGATTCATTCAAGATGTATAACTCAAACAATGATGCCTTCTATTCAACGACATCAACAATTTTAACAGTGGATAACAACATAAAACTAGAAAACATTAGTACAGATCTTCTTAATAAATTTCTAGCTGTAAGTTGAAATGTTCATTAATTTTCTAATAATAAAAATCAAATTAGCTTATTCTTGGAAATTATATGCTTCTTCATTGTTATAATAACCAAAAAACTAACTGAAAGAACTGATAATGTTGTTAAAAAGAATCACGAAAAGCTACTACACAGACATATTTTCTAAAAAGAAAGAAGAAAAATTTGACACAGTTCTAATTTAATACTTCAGAAACACACTTTTCATGAATTTTTTAAATTCACAGATTTTCCAGAAGGACGGTTTAATTGGTGATAAAAACGCAAAATTCGAGCATCACCCAAATACATCCACATCTGTACATTCCCTATATCATGTAAATATGAAAACTGAATTAGTCAATGAACAAACCAAAACTAATTCCCCACCAATAATTATTGCTGTTTTTACACTGACAATCGTCTCAACTGCTATTATCGCTGCTGTTATCAAACACTTAAGAGTAAGTTAATCTTTTTTTGGCATAAATTCACATAGTTAAAAAATAACTAGAAAATTAAAACCAATAACCATTCACTATTTTTTGAATTAAATTACTATCTAAGAGCGTATTAACTGTCATTACATCAATTCAACTTAACCACGCGATTTTACAATAGCTATAATTTAATTGCATCAAAAGTTTTATAGAAACAGAAGAGTGAGGCAGAGAAGCGAAATAGTTTCGAAATGGGTGATAAGATGTAAGTGTTTTAATTTCCTAGAATCAAACTTCACAAATTGAAACTTCATTTCATATCTGGAACCAGTGCTGAAATGAAATTTAAATTTTGAAATGAAAGTTAAAACTTTTGAAGCTTGAAAATGAAATGAAGTTTAGATTTTTGTATCATAAATCATTTAGACGACTATTAGATAATTTGTTTCAGAAAACAAGTGATGAAAAATTGAAAATCATTCGAAATTGCATGAACTGATCAGAGATAGTGTTTAAAACGAAAAGAATTTACCGTTTAATTTGAATGTCTTTGAACAGATACACCATCTGAAATATGATATGAAAACAATATTAAATCTAATTTAAAAAAGCTTCATTTATATAAAAAAAGAAAAACTTTGTTCTATAACAAGGACACTCATCCAAACAAAGCAGAATTGGAGAATTGGTCAAAGAATTGGTAATGATCAGATCTTCTGTGGTTTTATCTATGATGGCATTTTGTTCATAGTTTATCATACTATTTTAAAAAACCGTTCAATGTCAAGCCACAGGAATATAAAAATCAAAGGTTAACTGCGAATTTTGATACAGACGACAAGATTTTAGGAAATTTTAGAAATTTTTTCAAATAATAACTCACAGAATGAGAATGATATTTCGTTATGATTACATCGGAAGCATTGAGCAAGAATATTCGAACAAGAGCTTGTGATACATTGAGCGTGGCTTGCAAAATCAATCCAAGTGCTGCCATACCCATCTTATTTTTATCACTGTTTTGTAGTATCATTTGGGAATGTATGAATATGTACGCTAATAACATATAATTTTCTTCTGGTAGTGAAGTCAGTTGAGCTTTCAACATATCTGCTACCAAACAACGACATGGGGACAACGTTCCGCATGAACAATCTGAAATAAAACACATAAATTTTAAAACTCAACTTCAATAAATCAATTTTTGATTGAAAGACTTAGAGCATTGCTAACTGGATCCTTTGTATTCGATAATAACAAAGAAAAATGTATACTTGCCAAAAAAGTAGGAACTATAATAATAAACTGAAATTGCAACAAACTTGAAGCAATCTTTTCAAATATTGGTCGTTTTTCATTAGTTAGAATATGTTCCGGAAGCTGGCGCAAAAATCTTTTCAATAATCCCGAAGCATCGTGAATATCTTCCAGTTCAATGGGGCGTCTTGAATTCACTGCTTCTTCAAGTTTGTCTAAATTTGGTTTGGGTGCCGAAATCCGATGAATCCCTTCGACACATAGTCCTGAACTTCACTTACAGATGCAAAAAAAAAAATATTAGTTTTATACGTTTTTTATTAAACCTCATGAAAAATCCTAAATGATGGCTATTTACGACAGTTAGAATATCAACGCATTTAATTAGGCAATTAAAATGCTAAGCGAAGCAAAATAATGCACCTTTCTCATTAATGCAATCGATGCACTGCCTAACAACAACTGGTAGTGGAATCCCATCATGAGAACCCATTCGCAAAACAGCCAAAGAAAGCGGTACTGCGAAAATAGCGTGTTCTCCTAAATATAAAAAATGGCACTAGTTCAAACTTTTGTAAATATCGAAATCATTAGAAAAACTCGGAGTAATAGTCGGAGTTTTCATTAACCGTCACAAATATCATTTTGAAAAAATATCGTTGGGGAAAATCTATGGTATTCTGTCAAATCAATCAAAAAAGATTCTTAAATATAAATATAAATTTAAAAGTTTTTCGCTTCTAATAATTGAAAACTAAAGAAACTACCTGTAAATGGAGAAGTAACGAGAACTTCTTTTGCAACATGCTGTCCCGTCTTATTTTTATTTTTTGATTTCCTACCGAATACAATCACTTTCTTAGATCGTTCTTTATTTCTAAAAAATAAAAAAGAAAACAAGTAAACCCAACATTCTGCTGAAAATAAGCGTTTAACCTACTCAATTTATCAAAAACTGCGAATATAAATAAAATTTCACAATAAACTGAATAAAATCTATTTTAACTTCAGTGATAATCAGGATATGTAAACTAAAGACGTACTCTAACGGATGATAATCACACCTAGCTTTATTCTTTTTTTTCTCTTCCATATACCTCTTGCGTGTTACCTGCAACAAGAATTTCCACATCAAACCACAGTGTTCAAAAGACAAAAGCACATTTCTTATAACTTCTCCTAAGTCTAATAACTTGTTTAAATCGTTCATGTGTTAAAAACCACTTCTAACCAAAAGATATGACATCGCTAACGCTTAGAGATTTTTATTCTAGCATCCCGACTTATTGCTTTTAAACGACCGTAAACAATACTTTTTGGAAAATAATAACGCAAAGTAGCTTTAAATCACTCAAAATAATTATCAGCGTCAGTTAGAAAGAGAATCAAATCGATATCGATTATAATTTAGCCATATGCAACTCTAATAATAAGAATAAACGAGGAGAAAAGGAAAAAATTGAAGCCGAAACATGAACATTTTTTGCATCAAAAACAGTTAATAATTTTGAACGCTTTTATTAGAGTATGTCAAAATTTGTATGAACAAGTAAATTACAAAGTACTCTGAATAATAATACATTGCAATGAAAAATGATAATACAGAAATTAAAGCAATAAGTATGATGCTTATCCAAAGCATCTCACGAACAGCAACTCAACGAAATCTTCAATGCAAGAAATAAATATCTTTTATAGCATTATACTCTAAACTTTCAAAAATGAAATTTCAAATGCTAAAACTGGAAATCATTTCCTACATGTATCTCACATGTCTGAACCTAATGAAACAAACTAATCAACTGTCGGTTTCAGTTGACTTGTTTGTTTTACAAAAAACTGAAAATTACTATTTATGGGATTAGATTCCACACACAATAGAGTGAAGAAATTGATCTAATAAAAAGTTGCCCAAAACAAAAAAAACAAAACTGAAACATATAAAGACAACATTTTTCAAAATAATTTTTTTGAAAACGAACCCTTCATTTTTTCAAAATTGAAAGTGCTTTCATCATACTTTCAATAGCCGTTTTAGAATCTTCGTAACTCAATGCACTTACGGCATATTTTGCATACTTCTGTGCTTCCATGTAATCATCCAGGGTCAATCTTCCACTGTCACTGTTCTCAGACACTACCTGCGATGATCTTTTGGCATCGGGAATATGAAACGTTTCACAAGTTTCCCCCGTTGGAGCTGCATCCGAAGTTATGTGTAAAGGATTAACAGAATTTGGAAGAATGCTAGACTGAGCAGGTCCACGCGCACTTGACTGAGGCTCTTCTCGTATTTCAGCTGCAGGATATTAACTTGAAGAAAAGTTAAGCTATTATATTTCGGAATGTTCACAAAAATAACTGAAATTGAAAAATAAGAGATTATCATCAAAATATCACGTAGAATATAAATGTGCTAAGTTTTCAAAATAAAAATAAGGCATACTTTGAGAAATTCTCATATTAAAGTCTTTTAGATCATCATCTTGATTGCGACCTGACCCAGGTTTCGGGGTCTCGCCATTTTTTATACAACTGTGTATGTATGCAGCCTGAAATAGGTCTTGCTGAAAATGAAAACGTTGTTTAAATGAGGGGTGTAAGCCAATTAACATTGTTCAATAATACATGCCAATAAACAGAAACCGAACATAAACGAACGCACTAAATGAACGCTAGATGAAAGAAAAATGTGGAATATGAAAAAATAATAGTGCCACCTTCCACTTTGCGTATTTTCTGGTTGCAACGAGATTTTCATCCAATTCTCCAAAAAGGGTTAAAACATCAATTAAATGTCCAGCCGTGTAGAAAGCTCTGATAACGCCTCTAAAAATTATGAGCAGAACTGAAATACTATAACTTCCGCAACAAATTTATTTGCATTATGAAAGAAAATGAATATATGAATAATCATGTTTAAGACTTGTACAAACACAAAATAAAATGAAGAAAGCAGTAGGGTCTTCTAGCACATCTAATGCAAAAAGGTTGCATTTTTTCGTAACAGCATTTTTAATTAAACAAAAAAACTTGAAAATATTTACATCAAACTCGCGAAATTCTGTACAAAATTACTTCGTAAAATTCGATTGGCGATCATTCTTGTCGGCATAGTCGAATAATTTCATTGCAAAATTTTCGATATGGGCTTGGGCTACCAAATCTTGCGTGAGCGCTTCTTGTCCACTTAATTTCTTCTTCATCTATAGTTATTGGACTATTGAATTGTCGTTTTTTATTTGATTCCTTGTAAATTAAGAAAAAAGATTTCACAAAAAATTTACATCTTCCAATGTTGAAAGCAATGACGTTAGATACTGCAGAGCTTCTGGAGACTTTTTGTCTATATCCATTCCAGTTTGTACTGCATAAAACAAACCTAAACGGTGGACCTTTTCATTTATGAAACTCTAAAAGCTTTGTCGTAGAAATAAAACATGATAAATCATAAATCTTGGGTTTCTTGCACTCAAGTTTTTGTCTAGTTCTCGAAAAGAATCTCAAACTTACACCAGTAATGGATAACCGGATCGCGATCTGCGTTTTCAGTCCCTATTTTTACATAATGTGCGACTGAACGTAAAGATTGAGGAACTTGCATCACAAAAGTCACGTCCAATAATAAACAATATTCTTGCTGCAATCAATTTAATTTTCGATTTTCACCTGCAAAATACCGCTACAGTCCTCAAAATAACGCAGCCCAAAATATGCAACAGCTATAAATATCAAAACTACAATATTTCAGCCCTCAATCATGACTTTAAAAAAAGTTATTGCATTGATCTTCAGTCATGAAATCTGTCGTTTCACGGTAGTTACTCAGGTATGCGTTATAAAAAACATATCGATCAAGTAGAACAACTGCTCTGGAACCTCCATATTTAAATGATTTTATTAGTAGATTCTCTACTTCGGCAAAATAAAAAACATAAAAAATTATGTCTTTCAACACCGGTAATAAAAGATCACGGTTACTTGCATGATTCTACTAACAATGAGAAAATATATATATTTTTAAGCACAGAAATGTCTAAAAATTCTATGCAAAAATGAGATCGAAAGAATTCAAAGAGAAGGAATTCTCACAAAAATTATTTGCACATCGCAGTTGACATTCAGGCACAGTATAAAACAATCGGAACACTTATTGCAAGCCAATCTCACTGAATTAGAAATAGAAATCTGTTTATGCACACGGATGATTTTCATAAAAACTGTAAGAATAAAGACGCAGACAAAACAGTGAATGTTGGTCATGTTAAAGGGGATGTATTTCAGGCGTATACGTGAAGAGAATAAAGAATACCCATGCGTGTAACAATATGCAATACATGAAGAAAAGGAAACGGAACATGGGGCTGCGCATGAATACTGCTAAACGTAACCTGAAAAAGATTTGTAATTCTCAACTCCGCTGAATTAATGAAATTGTAACTGAAAAATTAAAATATATTTAAGATTTACATGCATTACAACAAATATATAAACTAAAAATAAAAATTTTACCCAAGATGATCAAAAATGCAAACTGCAAGTTTAGCCATGCGAATAAGCACATTATCCGAATGTGAAAGTGTAAATAACGAACAACTTTGATCGCTTATATTGTTTCCGCGCATTTCAATCGTCACTGCTTTAACCGCAGCTGCTTCAGCATTTATACATGCATACTAAAACAATACAGAATTTCACAAAACCAGATTAAAAGTGTGATTCATAGATGAATAAATAAAAAGAACCTCCATTTCCATTTACCGTTGCTCAGTCAGTTTTCGCTCCATCCGTTGAAACTATGGAAAATACTAGAAAGGCTATTTTGCAAATATATTTCATTATAATCTCTTGAATGGAAAGAACTGTCTAATTTAATTAGATTAAAGCTGAACTTGACGCCCAATTAAAATTCAGAAAGAAAAAAAAATAACTTGAGCACGTTCAAGTCGCAACTCCAATGCTCTCTTTTCACTCTCAATTCTTTCGATAGCTGTTTGCTTCGAAATCAATTTTTCACTTAAAAGCGAAATTTTTTGCTCCATTTCACCGATTTCGTATCGTTTGCTCGTCTTTTTTTCTTCCATTACTTTTGTCAGCTCGATATCTTTTTCAGCAAGTTTTCTTTCAACCGCTTCCTCCTGCCTACGCATTTCTGCTTGTAAAAAATCGTACTCCTAAAAAAAGTAACAGCGCCAAGTAGATTTGTACAAGTCTTTTCATACCAATAAGAAGTAACAAGGTAGTCTGAAATGTTATGTAAAAAGAAGCAAAAAAATTAGCGACGGAATTTATTTAGCAGAAAAGCTATAAAAAATGAAAAGTCATATATCATAAATTTGGAAGAGTTGTCTATCGCATAAGAGATTTTCAGTAAATAAGCTGTTTAACAAACGAGAGTACCAACTAGCTGAGTTCTTTCCATCTGTTCTTTATATTGGTTTGCCTGAGATAAATGGTGATGTATTTGCTTTAAAAGGTTTTCTCTCTGTGCACCAGAAGCTCGCTGTTCATCACGCAATCTATTTTCCATTTCCTCAAAAAATTAATCTGTGAGAGACATATTTTGCATTTACTCTCTTTTGCACTTTTATCATTGTACGTTTAGTAGAAAGAAGTCTTTGATTGCACTGGAACCAGTGTATAAAGTTTATGGAAAAGATAACTTGATATATTTCGGAAAGATCAAATGATTGGAATATCTATAATGGAAAAAAAAAAACTAAGTTGACGTTCTGGCATATCTCGGATAGAGCAGACTAAATATATTCGTTAAGAATTCCATATCAAATCCAAAGCAGAAATAAGAATCGTGACTACAGCTACCTGTATGTCTCCCTTAAGATTATAGATGACAAACTGCGACTGCTGAAGATCATCTTTCAGTAGATCAACTTCACACCGCAGTTCTTTCAATTCGATATTGTTTTCTCCACTATCTGATCCAGAACAAGAATTCTACAAATTATATCTTTGAAAATCAAAATAAATTTAAATATGAAGCTGTAAAACTCTATTAAGGCTAAAATCTATTAATGATAAATGAACATCTTGTGTTGCTGAAACGATTTAATGAAAAATAATACAGTCGCAGTCGCAAATTATTACAAGTAATAACAGTGGGTACGAGCTTTTTAATCAGTGATATGCAGTTCTAAACAGCATTCGCCTTATATTATTTTAATCATATTTTGAGAACAGAATAGATAACTGGAACGCCCCATCCTTTCATAATTAGTGCGCATAAACTCTAATCTCTTAAGTTTTCAAAATCAAGCGATAAGATGAAAATTAAAATTACTGAAAAAAGATTTGGAAATACCTCCTTCAGAGATGTCAAAAGATTTTCCTTCGCAGACAGAATCTTTTGGGCTCTTTGTTTGTATTCATCGAATTCTTGTTTGTTCGCTTCTAAATTATACTTCGCAAGTCTTATCTGCAATTTTTTTGTGTTTATAAAATCATAAAATCTTACTACAAAATTAATCGAAGAAATCATAAGCGAAGGAAAAAAGATTTGCGTACCTCTTCTATCAAATTCTGTTCACTCATTTCCATTTTCAGGATTTTTGCTCTTAGTTCCTGCAATTCCTTCTCGGTTTCTGAACTTTCATTATTGGCTGATTCTAAACGTTTTACATAATTTTGCTCTCGTTTTTCAAATTCCTCCTTTTCTTTATCATGCTCACGTTGAAGTTTTTTCAAGCTAGACGACTGATCATTCACGCTGGCACTATTTTCTGCTTCTAGTTCTTTTTTCATTAACTTCAACTCTTTACTGAGTTCTACTATCTGGGCATCTTTTTTAATATTGGCTTCTTCCGCTTCCTGAAATAAATGTGACCGTTAAAAGTCAAATGAATTAATGATTAACAATTTATACACTAAATTTTACCTGCAATCGAACAGACATCACAGCTATCTGACTTTCCTTTATATGCAAGCATTTCAGAGCATCCGACTGTTGCGTCTTTAGGTATTCTTCAGTTGCATATGAATCGGGTGTCGTTCGGATGGTATCTAAAATTTAAAGGAGTTTCTTCGCATTTGCCATTAAATCGTGGTACATTTTGAAAAAATGGCGTATCGTTAGCAAAAATTGAATAATCTAAAATTTTTTTGCAAATATTGCTGGATGATAATGAGAAGGATAGCAAAGAAATAGATCGCAAAAAACAAACAAACAACAAAATGTTTTTAGAAATCAGGTTTCCCGAAGAGTCTTATTAAGGAAAAATTATAAATATCTGAGTATATAATAAATTTTCACTTGCAATATGAGGATTTGGTGCCGAAAAACAACTTGCTACGGAAGAACAGCGGCTTGATGTTGGCTCATTTGAATTATTCAAATAAGCCATCAAATCATCGTCTTTTTTTTTACTACGAATTCGGCTTGATACTGAATATGTATGGTCTGTCCTAGAAAATTTAGAAAGTAATGAAAATTTTCGGTACATAATTCGAAATTGAGCAAATTAGGACTAATATCTGCAACACAAAAAAGTGCTGCACTACTTAAATAAGCATAATTAATAAAGTTTGTGCTAATCTATAATCATAAAAGTGTTGTGCTGTTTAAATAAGCGAAATTAACAAAGTTTATTGAACAGTAACCTTTTTTATTTTTTAGAAAATTTATGGAAATTAAGTACCCAAATTTTAAAATATGTCTCCCCCACAAAATCTCATCTAGATATCTATAAGTGAGAAATGCTTCAGTACGACGAAATATATTCCCAAAAATTTTAAGCAAATCAGGGAGCTAATGGTGAAAGCGAAGTGATGCGAATCATGGAAACAATTAACAGATTTTCAAATGAAAAAAATATCCAAAACCTGTGAAGTCAATGTTTTGCACGTGCATATATAAGATTCAATGAAACACTTATTAAATAACAAATGACCATTATTTTTTTACATGCTAACACACCTTATGTGATGTTTAGTTACTGTCTCTGAAATTTCAGACTCAGGTTTTTCCAATTTTCTTTGCCCTTCAATCTCGATCAAACTCATTGTTGAGTCACTCTTACCAACACCTTTTCTCGTATTTTTCAATGCCTGAAATTGCAACACTGCTCAGTTCACATTAGACACTATCTTCAATAGATTAATAAGCCGAAATTTAAAGAAATCAAACTATTCACCCAACTTCCATTGACATGTTTAACATATACTTAATATTCACATTTTTGCTTAACACTAATTGCACTTCTTAAGCAGATCTGAAACATATCCATTCATTATGGTTGCTTACAACTGATATATCAATAATGTCTAACATATAATGTATTTACATGTCTTATTGCTGATGGCTGATTATGTACAGTTCTTTCAGAAAACAAAGAAAAATAGGACATCTTTAAAAAATCATACAATGGCAGCATTTTGGTCAATTTGATTGAGCAAATCTTCGGCACGACCAGCAATATGTGATACTTTTGCAAGCCAAGACATGAGCACTATCACCTGCAATACACAGTCTCAACACCTACTATCATTCACACTATCACAGCACTGAACAATCCTTTCCAAACTCCAAACAGAACAGACAGCTCTCCACCAATACCACACCACTATCAGACGTCACTGTCAGAGTTGAAATGAAATGCTACGAAAATGGACCGTCCCACAAGAATCTGTCCAGCTATGCTACACCTCAGTTACTCTTTCCTTCTCCAACAGAGTTCGCTAAACAGCAAAGAAGATAAAAATGTATAATGTTTACAGAGCGTAACAGAACAATATTTATTAGAATGAGGAAACAGTTTATTTCGAAGTGAAAGTTTGACCAATAGAGTGAAATTTCAAAAGGACGGAATGGAACAAAATAAGATATACACATAGCAAATGAGAATTAATACGCGTTAATGTGACAGGTTTACATGACAGAATCACAGAAGACATCAATAGTAACAATTATATCAATATCAACTAAATTGTCTTAAATATTTTACCTGAGACCGCTATAGGTGGACTTTAATGCATAACTTAATGGTTCCACAGATTCCTAAAATGTTGTCAACATCAATAAACTACCGAGGATAAAAATTTTAAATGAGCAGTAAATGAGTCAAATACTAGTTCATAACAAAATAACACCGTTTTAGGAAGTTAACACTCTTTTGCGAAAACAAATATCTGAAAGGAGGAGCGCTGATGACATCTGAGACTATTTCTTTTTCTTTTTCTTTATTTCAAAATACTTCTGAATACTAAATTTTGTACCACAAAAGATGTCTATTAATTTGAAAAAATTAAGCAGCTATATTTATTCTGTTTTCTCAAATTTTCTTCCTCTCACTCCCTTCTATTCATCTTCCTAACCAAATGATTTTTGATGTTAATGATCCAGCAACAATGTTTTTAAGATCTGATGATTCGATGGTTACATGTGACGCGTGTTACCCATATTGATACCGGACGCATTCGCACCTTTATTTGTACCCATCTGAAGTCCAATAATCGCTTCACCCGCACGAAGCTTTTCCTCCGACCACTCACGTTTCTCTCCTTTAGCCTCCTAAGAGACATTTAATGAATACGCAATATTTTTAAATACTAAGTCAAAAGTTTCATTGTCTCAAATGCTTATGATTATAGCAGTCTAAACTAAATATATACGAATACTTTTGATTATTTATAGAAAGTTTTGTTTTTCATCACAACATTAAGCTATCACTAAAGCTTATCTTGATCGACTTGTTATTACGGTAGATAATTAGTATAAAGTTCAACTATTATTACGTTTCTGCGGAATTTTACAAATAGGAGATGCATTTGTGCTTTTGTTACCGTTGAAAACAGAGAACTTTGTAATAAAATAAAAACTGATGAAACATTCAGGAAAGTTAATCTGGACTCATAATTGCATGTCTAGAATTATCATTAACCGAATTATCACTAAGTGCTTAAATGTAATAAATCTATACTTGCGATTAGTACTTAATCGCTACTTATTATTACTACACATTTGTTTCTTATATAATGTCAACTCAAAAAAACTTAAGTTTAATTGGGATTTTCAGCTTACCTCGACATGACTTACGCTGATACTTCAAGCATGTTTCTTTAATCTGTAAATGTCATTTTCTTAAATACTTAAATCTACTTCTAAACTCAAATCCAGATCATGAAGAACAAGCTCATAAAAATAAGTGTTAAAAAAATGTGTCATTCTACTTTATTTGCCCAAACCAATATAAAAAGCCCAGAGAGTAAAATCGCGGGCAACTGACATTTGTATTACGAATAGTTTTATCAATCATATATGTATAGAAGGGAGGATGAATGATTCAAAAACAGTGGCGAATACCTCTCAATTGAAAGAATATGAATCACAGAAGTAGGATATTCTGCAAATACATAATTCAGAATACATTGCAGCTTTTAAACTTAAGAATTTCACTTACTTTTGGACCTAAACCAGGCTTTCCAAACAGCTCCTCAGATTTTCTGGCCAACGATGAAAGGCAAACAACAACCGCATTTGGATCTTGACCTTCGAATAGATCAACTGTTTGGAAAAGTTCTAACTTAGAAATATGTTTCTCGGCGAAAGATAAAAAAAATGAAATGTTTTCCATTTGTTTGAATGCCATTGCACTGGTGTTAATCTTCTTTATTGAACCTGGCTGCAAGGCATTTGCAAGGCTGAAAATTTTCGATACATCCACAAAGAGGAAGAACAATATCAGACTATACTAGGTAAATTCTCTCGACTGAATAATACTGAGTTACGATTAAAATCGACCAACTATATTTATTCCTACTTCTCTTGCATTTTTCATTGCCTGATTAAACAATTGCATCCTCGCAACGAAAAAAATCTATTTGAAGTATTTTTTTCTTCCTAGAAACGATTTAGCTATTCTGCACATAACTAACTTTCTGATAGCCAATAAAATCTTGAGCTTAGTAAGCTTACCTGCACAGTACCGCACCGTCTTTGAAGACTTCCAAAAAATTCTTAACATCACCATCAGTTGAGAAATTTTTACCGGTTAGTTGAGCAACCCATTCAAGAAGTTGTCCAGCTAGTTCGCTATCATATTTGCCGTGTATTTTACGCTGAGCCTCTAACGCTAAACCAGATTTTGTCGCACGTTCTGTCATTATTCCTAAATACCTGAAAACTGCAAAAAATACGGAAAAGAAAAAATTCATTGAAAAAATTAATACATACGCCAGAAATTAAAATCATAACACATACGCCAAACTAAATGAAAAGTTTTAATTTGATCATAATTTGTGCCGTTAACACTTTCTGAACTAAAAACTCGTTTCAAAAACAAGCGAAATAAAATTATACCGCAAATATAAAACACTCCATGCAACGGTATAAATACTATCTCAATGGCCCTCTTTTAATTAACAAATTAAGCACTGGAACATCACTTTTCTTTCCATCACGAACTTTGAGAAAGACCGAAGTCGAAGTAAGCTCTGTACAACACTCCGAAAAGCAGTGAAGCAAGAAAAGACGACTAGGCCCGAGAATAAAATGCAAGCAAACGAGAATTTAAAAAAAGAATAAACCACAATAATTTAAAGATGCATTCGGATGAGAAAAAGTCCATGTCAATTAAAAAATGATCAAGACATATCGCAAGAAAACTCATTTAGGAAAAAATCGAAGCAGAAATTAGGTGAAAGCTGCACTGTACAACACTAACAGTTAATAAAAAGTATTCATTCATTACCGAACTAAAGAAATATCCATTTGAGATGGAGCGCAAAGTGACATAAACATCTGCAACAATCAAAAAAATTTTTTCTAGCTGAGAGAGGAAACAACACACTTCTTTTTGCACCCCATAACATGATAAGCGATAGCAAATGAAATAGCTAAATGGTCAATCCATTCACACTTTTTTCATTAAATCGTAAAACTTGAAGTCACTTCACCAAGTGATTTGCTAGCTGAAATCTAAAGCAGTGTTCGTCGTTTGGTGATTTTTTTTGTGGCAAAATTATCAAAAGTGAATATTGATTTAACAAACAAACAAGAACAAAAAGAAGAAAAAATCAAGAGCACAATCTGTGATTCCCAGAATATTAATCATTCTATACTTGAAATTTGGATTTTAAATAAATTTTCAAACGCCGAGAATTACTAGGCTGTACTTGTGATGTGAATGAAGATTTTGGTATTGCATGTTATCTACTGCTAAGATATATCTTTTGGTCTTTTAGTTTATTCATAATTTTTTATTTACGATAAAAAAGGATTTTGGCTTGGATTGCTTTTGTCTTTTCAAACACTTACCGTAAAAACCGACTGAAATCAAATAAGACAGAGGTCAGAAGTGTGGTAAATTACAATATGAATAAGTGAAATGAACACAAAAGCCAGCAAACGTCAAATACCAGCGAAAAATCACAACCAATTTATATATAACTAACATAACTAATATACTCGCATATTTCATTCCTTTTCCTTTCCGATGGTACTAATAATGTATTTCAAACTTTGAATGATGAGGGCTGGGCTTACAACAAGTTAATCAAGTAGCCACAATGATGCACACTACAATGATATGGAATAAAAAGTTGTAAAATTACGGAATGATTCAAAACAAGATAATCCTATTCCTTTTCCTTTCCAATGGTACTAATAACATTGATTATTGAGAGTAATGGAAATGGAGACGATAATGATGATGATGCAATAATTATTTTAATTATTAGCTGATGACAACAGTTCAAGGGCATCAATGAAATGAAATGAATGAGAGTGACCGAAATCGTTCAGTAATTCATCGTTTCTTTCTGGGTCATCGATACATTAACCACAAATCTAACCTCGTCGAAGTATCCCCTATTAGTTATGCGAGATTCGCAACAAGAAATGTTGTATACTAAAAATAGATATAGCATTTCACTCATTTGAAGGAAACTAAAAATATCATGTTTACATAACAAACGATTTAGCAAAAGTTAAAAGTTAGAAAAAGGAAATGGAATGGCAATAAAAAGAATAAATAGATTTTCCTTTCCTAACTGGTTCACATCTCTCTATTCGCTCATTCACTCCCTATTCTGTTCTATTCCATTCCCGTCCTCTTATATTTCCTTTCTTGCTATTCCATTCATACTCTGTTCCTCTTCCAAAGCAATCAGAGAAGGGATGAATGACGACATGTATGGTTGATAAGTGAATAATCTGTCAAATAATGTTTTGCAGCCCTTGCTTGCTATATCGATTCTTTCAGGAAGAGCTTAAACTGTTGTCCGTTCTCCTCCTACAAATCTGGAAAATAACGAATCGAGCTATTCCCTATTCCGTCGCTGTTCTAGTTTTTCACAGAATTAAATTTATTTCAAAGAGAGTAACATTTTCGTACTGCACGCGTGCCGTTAAATCATAAGTCGATGTGAATTATCAGGAATTTTTATCCTTTCCTTACAAGCGCTGTTAATTATTTGTAACTCCGGATTGTATCATTTCTTAAGAAATTAATCATAATTAACTCGCTTCCGGAATTCCACCAACTGAAAGTTCCGCCTCCGGAATTTCGCTAACGCTAACTTCATCTGTTCTAATAAAATCCCAGACATTGTATATCAGGAACATTCCCATATCTTCTACGCAAATAATGCTTGTCCTGCCTTTTGAGCATCTCCAAAGGCTTCTAAATTATTGCATGATTCCAACTTATTACTCTCCATTTTCAAGGAGTTCATTATTTCTCGATCTCTACCATAAAAATTAAGACTTCTTTGATTCCTTGTATATTTCAAGATTTCAATTTTTCGATTGCGAAATATGGTGGTACCTTTACAGCCTTTTATTACATTTCTAAGCAGGCAAGTCGAAAAAGTACATTTCAACATAAATATTACAAATAATACACATATAAGATAGTGAGCATTAACCATCTCTTCTATACTTTTAAGTATCAAAATTGTATGCTTCAAAACTGCATGCTTTCAATGACTAATAGAAAATGATTTTCCGAGTAATTCAAACCAAATTTATATTTTAAAAAAAACAAAGAAAGTATATTGGACGGGGCACGAGAATGGACAGAGACCAGTGGGTTCACAGACAGTGAGAAAAAGTTTATGGTAAAGCAAATGTTAACTAAGCACTTTCAATTTTCTTTTACCGCCACCCTCTTCCAATGATAGAATAGAATTCAAAATAGAACAATGGACAGAGATGACCAATCCATAATACAGTCATTACAATTATCCACATAAGATGTACAAGAGTAGTTTAAAAAGTATTGCACATTCCAATGTAAAATTACTATCAAACATAAATGGAAGAAAAAAACCGGTCTGATATCGTACAAAGTAAACTTTGGCTGTGTTAAAAGAAATAAACAGATAAAATGATAAATTCGACCGAAAAGAAAGTACGCGAAATTATTGTGCGATTGCAGGAAACACAAAGAGAGTGAGTAAATTGAGAATTATGCGAAAACATAAAACAATTTTACATAAAAATATCAATAAACCAACAAAAAATATAAGATGAACAAACAAAATGCAATTTGGAATTCAGAAAATTTCTATACAAATAATTTAGGAAAATAATTGATGCAAAAACTTTGGGCAATTGCTTAAATATAAAAATTGTAAAGGTAATGTTGCTTTTCGCCGCTTGAATTACTCATTAATTAATCCATTATTTCAGAAAATAAATGAGATGAACGATTCATCACTCTTTTTAAAAAGCTGTTTTATGGCAGTGCAGTTCAAAATAATTTTAGCACATTTTATAACTAAGGCAAGTGGCCAAACTTCAACTATGTGACAGCATATTGTAACATTACTTCTTTACTTAAATTTACTTCAATCACTAAAGTTAATTAAAAGTTAATAATAATAGTGGTTTATGTACCTCCTATTACTGAGGGTCTTCAAACCATCGATTATATAAATATGACAGAATATCCTTGCTTTTGTGGAAGAAATTGCAAGATGGAATAGAGGGATAAAAAACTTTAATGTTCTGTTCTGAAAAACATTAACCTTTATTTACAAAAAGCTGACTACTGAACAAAATTCATTAGATAGAGTACATACTTCTCTCATCTCTATAAAATATTTTTACTGTAAAGAGGTTGAAAAATATGTCACAGATGTAAACAAAATCTAACAAAAGAATTTTTTATAATTGGCTGATGTAAGAAAGATATCATGAACGTAGTTGACAAGGCCAAACAAATGGTTTAATAACATTCTCATTTTGCGTCCCAAGCATATCCCTGAGTAAAAATTCAATCGGTGTTTCACCAACTAATTTTACAAAAAATAACTGCTCGATTACAGATGCACTGATTGATCTTAAACTTGGCAATCGTAACAATAAACGACCGAATCGTCCGATCTAAAATCAAAGTTTGACTTCTGCTTGTAGACACTCACTGCTTCAACTCATTAGTCACTCATTATAAAATAAACTTATCATCTAAAACACTTATTTGACAATTATAAAAAATTACAAATTACAAAAGAAAAGAGTTCCTCTTTTACTTTCCCTTCTCAAGCAATTAAAATAAACCTGTAACTGCTTCTGTGCCCTGCAATATTCCTCCAATGCCGATTGAACCTTTTCCTGTATCGTTTCCACTCGTATAACATCATTTAGTCCACAACAATCTGCAAAAAATGTTGCCATGCAAATATTTCAGAAAATTTGAAACACTGAACTGTTTGTTTTTTTCAACTGAAGAGATCGTCATGTTTTTCAGTTCATTTTTTATCATATGATCTAAAATGGCTTGTTTTTTTTAATATAATAAGTTCTGTATCATAAATGTTGTCCTGCATACTGCCGCAAGAAATTCCTAACAATGGTGCTTTGAGTACACAAATACATCATAAAATTACACAGCCTCCAACAACTTCGAAGCGCAGCTGTTTCAAGCGATGCTTTTCGAAACAGAAATCAAAAAAAAAGCACAAAAATGAAAGGAAAAAAATTGCAACGTACATTATACATATAATATCTCATTTTATGTAAAACATTAGAAAATCAATTCTGATCGTTTCCCCTCCTTTCCTTCCTTCATCCCCTAAATACTTCCGGAGTCTTTTTTAAAAGTGAATCAAAAAGGAATAAAATTCTTGGTGGTATTTCAATGTGCAAAAATGGTGAGTGATTCATCGGGAGAGGAGAAGACACCGTGTGCATTAACCAACCTGAAGGCTTTGATATTTCTACAGTTATCTACTGTGTACTAAATCGAAAGGTTGAACAGTCAAAAGGGACCATCACTACTACGGTGTCATAGAGGCACGGCTGTTAGTGCTATGTTGAACGTGAACACAACAATCAGAGTTATAAATTTTTCTCTTTTGAAAAGCACGGATCTGATGATTTGTGGTTATTACAGAATCACAGCTCGTATTTCTGAACTAATATCTGTTAAACTCAAAATTAAATTGGAAGTCCTGTCCCTGCACCTAACATTCATTGTCTGACATGCTCAACTTTCGCAATTTAAGCAACAATTGTGACTCATTTTCGAAATTCAATTGATAATCTATCGGGATGATCCACTTGTTCGTTCGCTCTGGTGAAAATATATCTCATATGTATTGGGTGAAGAGAAATCGGCACTTTAATGACCCATTTACCTCTTTTTTCTAGGGTCTCCCTTCAACATCCTATTTTAAGGCCTTTCACCTCTTCCTTTAACGCATTTTCTCAGTCCTTGACATTACGAAGATGTAAAACTTTTTCACTGTGAATGTATGTAATTCATTATATATATATATATATATATATATGTATATATGTATATATATATATGTAACATATTTGAAATTATTATAAGCATGTCAAATACCATTAACGTTCATATTTTCCATAGTGAGTAAAACGTTCAGTATGAGAGAGGTGATAATTAAAAAACTGATAAAGTCTTACCTTGTTTATGATTATGCCTCAAAAAAGATCCCTTCTTTAGAGTTTTGTTCTAAATTACATGTTTAAAGAATTTAAGATATGATACAATTTAAGTAAAAGAAATAAAACACAAAAAATGCTAACCAACACTGAATAATATAACTGCTTTCAGGCTGCAAAATTCGGCTGGGTCCATTTGCAGTGCTTTTAAACGTTCGAGTTGACCCTAAAATAAATCCAAAATCTGCATACTTTTCGTGCAAATATATCGCCAAAAAACAATTAATTTCTTGATTTAAATCGTCTAATTTAAAGGAAAAACCACTTTGGAGAAGGAAAAGAATTTGTTTTATCTCTTTTCCTCCCGTCTTGATTATATAACTCAAAATGATTGCAATGCAGTTTCTAAAAAAAAAGCTAAGCCCACATAAAGAGAACTCGACACATCATACTATATTTACATATATTCACTTGAGCTAATGAGACAAGGACGAGGATGAGACAAAAGTGACCTGGAAAACACGTATCCGATCCATGAATACAACTAGTTGATCGGTTGGTAATGGAGGAGAAGAATGCAAACCGGAGGCAGCAAGTAAAGGTGCTACATGCACCGGCATACCGAATTGTGCTGCATTTACCACGAATAATTCAGCCCAACTTGCTCGAAGTAATGTCAGCTGCAACATATTATTAATGCTTTAGAAGAGAGTGTAAGTTGGATCTGAACAGTAGACTGGAATATTTCAACTTAATAAAAAGTTTTGTAAGTGTAAGAGGTAAAATACCTAGCTTCGTTTGCACCTTAACTGTAGTTAGGCGTTATACAATAACAAAAAGGAAAATTTTGCAAATCAATTTTCATTTTACGTTTGCCAAGTGTTGAAAATCAAAATGGAGTAAAAGTTGAGAAATGTTTAAGTTATTGCGCCGGATTTTGAATTTGATGTAACGGAAGAATAAAAGATGTACTTGATCAGTGTCACTGAGTTCATTGAAGAATGGGATATTCTTGGCCCATTCGACAGCAGAAAATAACAATTTGGCACCAAACTCATAGATATTGTCCATTCCAATTGAACTTGATGATGAACTACCTGAAATAGCTCACTCATTAATTAAACTTATATCCACTCAATTTTCATCATGAAATTCTGCTTGTCTTTCTCAATGGAGCTTTTAATAACAGTGGAGCTTCTCAGTGATGCTTTTAATAATAAATTTTTATTATAAATTAATTTTCACTCATTCTGTCCATATGCTTAACATTTGCCAAACTACCCAAATCCTGAAAAATAGACTCAAAAAAGCCTTGTCTAGTCTAAATAACAATGAATTTTATCTCAATTTCTCAATTTATTCATTATAACAATCATTTTTGCAAACTCCGAAAAGATACCCGCATATTGACTGTTCCAGAAAGCTTGGTAAAAACTGATAAGCCTCATTTAATAAATGGGTATAATGTATCAATATAGCAATGAATTCATCTTTCGAATTTATTCATCGCATCATAAGAGAAAACTGAACTAAAAATTACTAAAAGAATGGTGATACGTAAAAAAACTGATACTATTTTATCATTAGTTTTCTTTAAAATGTTCAAATACAAGTCTGTTTTAATTATCACTCATTTTTGAGGAAGTTCTCTGCTATTGTTTATGCTAACAACGACAACTAAGGTTATCAGCGTCATCAAAGAATCGCCTTCCTTAAGTCCTATGCAGTCTGTTCAAATTTCTTCAAGTTTTGGCTTCAAGAAACGAGTGCTTGAGAAATTTTCTAGTATACTGTTTGTCCAAAGTTCTCTTCAAAATCAAATACTGGATATCAGAAGGAGATAAGCTGAATTGCCTTATTAGTTCGATATTTAATTGGGAAAGAAAAGTAATGACAATTATTATCGGAAACTTTTCAATTAAAAAGCTGCACAAAATATTGAATTTTCAGAACGGAGAATTCCTCTAAGAACACTTTCATAAAATGTAACTTTCTGCGAATTAAGTATATGAATTCGTGTTCCGAAACTTTGCTTCTCCAAATTTTGAACCGAATTTTCAATACATTAATCAAAATATTAATATAAAAGCAAGAAAAGTAAAATGATGTTTTTGCAATTTCTTTAAAGAGGAAAAAAATGCTTCATATTAAATAAACCTTATTTAATCACTAAATTGCTATCACACAACCCAGAGATAAATGGAAGTGTTTAGTAAAAATAACATAGCTTTTAACTATTTGTAAATTTTGTATTTGGAATAATTTATTCATATTACGGTAATAAATATATCATTGTTTTTGAGTAAAGAATAAATTCACTGATGGACAGTTTCAACAGGCATTACATTGAAATCATCGTGCTGCAATAAGTTTTGCTATCAGATTAAATTCTTTCAGGGCTTAATGCTCTGAATTGATTGCAAGTGCAAAAAAATAAAAGCATTAAAAAATACATCAGGCCAGTCAGGTTATAAAAATTTATGTGAAATATCAACCATTACAAATCTAAAAAAGTTCCACTTTCTAAAGATGCCTCTTTTGTTCAATACCTTTACTCGTCTTTTTTGACAACAAAAGAACACTTTTAGACTGTTTGGAAAAAAAAAAGAACACGAAATGTGACATATGATTTAGTCCAATAAAACATACCACTTTTCATCAAACAGTTACCGAAATTATGAACAGAGAGGATAGTTAACCATGAAATGACCTTCACGAAAACAACTGCCATCATATGTCTCCCCTGCGAACTCATAAATAAAAATAGTAAAAGCATTTACAAGCAGTGGGCGGATATGGCTCAGCGCGAATGAGATGCGTCACAACGGATGAGAAATGTGAACCAACACCCTGATTTACTGTCAATAACCGTTCACCAAAAAGAACTGTAGAAGAGTAAGCATGCTGCGCATTTGGTGGTATCCTTCCGCGTTGTACTGCTGAAACATTTCCTCATGAATATTGCCTGCTTCACTTGACAAGTGTCATTTGTTGAATTCATCTCCGCCACATTAACATCAAAATAAAATATTCAATTCCCGAGGGCACTCTGATACCATGACATACACCTGATAGTATGACCCAATTTTTTATCAAGCAATAATTCACAGCAGTACACTAATGAATGAACATAGCTAGCTGGCAGCTGGCAGATTTGAGCCTAAAGGACAATACATTAAACAATACATTTATGTTGATGTAGATCCTCTAAAGTTTGGAATCTTTATTGTTTAAAGTTATTCCTTGTTTGCTTAATTTCCATTCCCTTTATGCACTTAATTAAATCATTCATGCTGTTTGAGTGTTCTGAACTGTTGAAATCGAGTTTTAATTCCATCTGAACTTAAACTTTTAAAAATTAGTTCAAAAAAGTTGCTGATAAAAGCAATACTGGTAAAAAAGTCATCCAATTTTCAATATGAGGTAAAAATGTTTTTTAATCACAAAAGATTTATTTGGAAAGCCAACAAAGTCAATGGATATTAGTGCTCGACGCAGGATGGCACTTCTAGCGCAACAAATTTCTGCGCTGGCAGCTCATAAGAGGGATCATTTTAAATGAATTAGTTGACTAATTACTGAACAGAGGTACGATGTTTTCTTGTAGCGGTGAGGTTAGCAAAAGAATAACCAAACGAACAATTGTTAAATACAAAAAAAATATTGAATATGAGGCAGAACGAACCTTCCTTACGCATTCCCATTCTTTCGCATTTCTTCAAACGACAATACTGACACTGATTTCGATGATTCACATCCACTGGACAATTTTTGGTACCACGACATGTATAATTAAGACTTCGTCTTATTGATCTGAATGAATCTTCATTTCCATGCGCTAAGCTATATTATATATAAAGCTTAATGGTAACATGATCAAAATTGCAAACGATCTTAACCACAATTGCATGATAGAGAAGAAAATAAAGATGACGAGAGAGAAGAATGCTTACTGCTGATGATGAATTTATTAAAGTCAAGCCAAGTCATTCTCATTCTTAGTGATAACATAAGTGTCATGATTAAATGGCTTAAATTAGAGGAATATTAATTCGCAAATTTTCAAAGATTAAGAAAAAGAATGAACAATGTGAAGATGACAGATAATCTAACCATTCAGTTACAACTAATTACATGCTTAGATTGTATATACATTGTGGCGATGATTATATCATATATATCTTTAATAACTATTAAAATAGCTGCCAATTCAAGCAGTACAAGAAAATCAAACGTTTTGAATAAAAAATAAATTTCAGAAACGTTTATCAAATGAAATGGCATTAACTAATGGTGTGGTGCTAATAAGTCGATTTTTGAATTAATAATTATATATTTTCTGCGTTAATGGAATAATCATATTTTAGCCATCGCAGAGAAATTAATTTATTTCCTTTTCATCCTTCTATTAGAGTGAAAGTAAATTTGAAGGAGAAATGATGTGAAATCAAAGTGTTCGAAGAGGCACACATTTATCCATCTCCTTGAGAGAGGTTCCTCGTAACAATCGCGATAATCGCGATTGAGAGGTATTGAAGTGAAGAATTGGGATACCTTTTAAAAAATGATTTACATCCTTCGCATGAGAACTGCCCATAATGCTTGCCACTCGATTTGTCACCACAAACGACACATTCCGTGCCAAGCAATAACTGCTTGTCAGTTGGTGAACTTTCCGGATGAACACTGCCACCGCTACCACCGGCAACACCGCTATTCGATGCATTACCCGAATCAGAGCTGCTTGCACCAGATGACGATCGTGAATCCTCCAATTATATATACTACATACACAATGATTTTAATAAATGAAGTTTCGCTGGGTGATATCTTGGCAGATGAATTGTGCAATAACATCTTTAGATATATTACTGAATTACCTGGATGTTAGCATCCGAATTGCTGGTGCTTGGATTTCTGATACTGGAATCCATCCAGGAAGAGCTTACTACAGGTACGGACATTTCCACAGGCGGAACACGATGTTCCTCCTTCCATTGCTTTTTCTTCATGCACTTCTTATCACCTCCTACACGTTATACTTTTCGATTATGCTGTACGTAGTGTTCTTTCCACCAGGCAATTTAGAAAATTCTGTTTAATGTTTTTTTTTTTTTAATTCTAAATTGTTAGGTAAAAGAGATTGTTATCTAAGGACAGGAAGAGGAAATGATAGGAGTAGGAAGAAGTAATAACAGAAGTGGAACGAGAAACAGAAGATGTATAGGCTGCCGATTCTCTCTTCTTATCTCTTTCTCAGATGACACTTTAGCCTCGGGGCGGGGCAAAGGTCGTTGATCAGAGCTTGTTAGCCTGGAATTTCCTCCAATGAGCAAAGCCAGAGAAATTGAAATGGTTTGTAGGGAAATATTTCCAGCCACCAATACCACCAACATCAACACCAGCAGCAGCAGCAGCACCACCACCAACACTACCAGTGCCAGCAGCAGCAGCAGCAGCAGTAGCAGCGATGAACACGTCGACCGGTCGTTCTATCTTCCAGCTTCCTTCTTCGCCTTTCCTTCTTCCTGCAAGATCACACAAGATCCTATCTTCTAATATCATATTTGCAGCAGAGAGAACACAAGTCTAAATGCTCTATTGATCGAGAATGAAGCACATCATAAAATACCGTATTCTCGGGAATCACACTGAAAATAATCCTTACCAAATTATACTGAAAACAAGAAATACACTCTCTTCTCTTTCATTAACTTACAAATATAAATAAGGCCATCCGCATAGCTCTCATTTAATGGCTTAAAAGATAATAGAATCATTCAATCTCTTCCATTCTTTTAAATTAAATATTAGAACAAGCAAATCTCTATTTTTTGTTTTAAAAAATAATAATAAGGCTTATTATTTTCATCTGAAAATAGAACTTCATCTGAAAGTAAAGGTTGTTATAAATTTCTACCACACTATACAGTATGATACATTATGGTATAGTTTCCAATATATCAGCCGAATATGTCATGATATCAAATCATTTTCAATATAGTCTAGACTATTTCTTTAGGAGAACATTAGACTTATTCGAAAAGAAGCATGAAATTACTTACATTATCATGACATACAATCACATAGCTATCGGAATCTGAAATTATCACTCCCTGATAGATTAGTGGTTGATTGAGCAGGTAGTAGAAGTCATTTCCTCTATTGCGATTGATATATTTGAAACTAAGTTGCTTAATTTCAAATATTATTCAGATTCTATATTTTGTTTGAATTAATTAATATCCTGCATGTACTTTAAGAATTCAACAAAAAAGACTTGATTGAAAAAATTATTAATGTACAAATGCGTATTTATTTTTGATGTATTAACTCTTTCTCTTCTTTTTGATGATTAGCAGGAATATATTTCAGATTCATTTCATTCATTTTTGTCATAATTTCGAATTTTTTAAATATGTTAGCTTTAGATAACAAAACAACACAATCTCAAACTTACATATATTAACCTTTAGTGATAATTATTTTCATTTATCAAGCAAGAATTTACCCATTTTAATCTTACTGAAATATCGCAGAGAGTAAAATTCCATAAATGATATTATCAACTGTAATGGAAACTTCGCTTATGAGATCAAAAAAAAAAACAAACTTCCGGAATGATTAAAAGCAAATATGCGCGTAACATATTTATTCAAAATTTCAAAAGATTGTTACTTCTACTGCAAATTATGACTTCATTCAATGATTAGCAGAATTTCTAAATTTGCGAAGATCTCAGCGTTGAACATTGCTGTGTTCCTTTAGATAAATGTTTTTTCCACTTTTTCAAAAATTAATTTATGAAAAATAGATCATCCATGAGATTCATGCGAATGCAAATGCATGCATGCATGCCATTCCCAGATAAAACAGCATTTTGCAGCTGTTGAATTAATTAATAAAAAAAGCAAATAAATAAATCTACCACGCTGCTGGATCACAGACTCCTCGGAAATCCCATCTGCAATAACCAAATCAGTGAGTAAAAATATGGCGATCAAACAGCTGATACAATTAGCTATTATCCGTTATTTCTAGCTTGATACATTGAATGTTCAGGTATTTTTAGTTCAGCTCATGTAGTTACACAAATGAAATTATGTAACGTCCTACCTCTTCCAGGCACAATAAATTGCTCACATGCTCAAATCACCTAAACTTATCAATTCTTACTGGCTTATCCACCAGCTAATCAGAATTTAAAGATATGTTTTCAAATGGAACTTTCAATCTACTAAAGAATGAAAAAATAGATATCTCTGACAAATAAATGGACAATGAAAATTCTTCTGAAATACTACCAGGAACTTTATAGCTAGATTAATTCTTCCTAGACAAGTATTCTATCGTCTTCTTACAAAACGGCACAATAAAATATTTTTTAAATAATATCATTCCTCAATATATGATATTTAACGAAACTTTCAAATTCCATTTCTTGAAATATTATTTAACTAATAATTGACAGGTTTTTCTACACAAATTTTTATTATAATAATTGATAGTATTCCAGTTTATCACTTAACTTGATCCTTATCACGATAACTATTTCAGAGTGTTGGCTTAATTTAATGAGTAAATAAAAGTTGAATTGGAATGGAAATCATCAGAAACATTAATAAATATGAATCCTAAAGTACTTTCAACAGAAATTCCATAGGCATTATTTTTTTAATGGAATATCCATGATGTTTTGAGAAATGAAAGTGGTCCCTCCTCAATCACTAGCATAACATACCGTAGCCTGGAGGCATCTCATCTCATTCTATGGATGACATTCTATAGGCCACTCTCAGTGATCCTCAAATATATAATCCCTTTTTTTGAGCGGAAGAGTTAATGCAGTGTTAACCAAACTACTCCAAACATCCACAAGCTTTTGTGCCTCATTTCATTTCTTTCTGAAAACCGATTTTGCATTTCAAATAGATGACATAACTATTTTCCATAACGGTATAGAATTTAAAATACTTCAAGAAGAAATGGCAAAGATAAATGAGTGATCTTTCATTTGATAAATTCTTGGTTAGGTATTTAGTTGGATTTATACTAGTATTTAAGGCAAAAGATAGGAAGAATTTTTTAGATTATACCAAATGAAGCAGTAGTGAAATTATATGAGAAGAAGCGTAAGGATGGATATTATGGTAGGAAATAAAACTAAAAATCATGAAAGTTCCTCTCATCCTCATTGAACACTCTCAACGAAATCGTTTCATTTTAATAGTGAAAGGAAGAGAGATTGAAGCAAAGAGCACCAGTGGAACCCAAAATGGCACCAATAAAATACTAGCCAATCCAGCTGCTCGATATTCATTCTCATCAACCAAATAAATAAATAACTCTTCAAAGTGATTACATTAAAGTTACCTCATTTGTATCTATTCTCATTTTGTATTTATTCCATTAACTTTATTACATTTAAATTGAATTTATATATCAATATGTGAAGAATGATTCGATTTCATAAAAAGTGAAGTTATTTACATCAATTTGAAATTCACAGCTAATTAATAAAACTGGGGAAAAAAGCTGCTACCCGTGTTTTGTTTACAAAAAGGAAAAAAACAAATTAACAGATTAAACATTTGTTTTACTAACTTTTCATAAAATAAATTCTCATAATACTTACTTCAATTATCATTTGAATTTCGGAATTCTTCAAAAACGTCTGTTCAGTGCAGAAAATATATAAAATAGGAGAAATCTCTCCTACCAATTCTAGACCAAAACCTACCGAATTAGAATAGTACTATTTAATCAGAGGCCCTTCAACTGATATGAGTGAAAGAAAAATGACTAATCAAGGAAATAGATATCCTGCTAGATAATGTTAAAGTGGGTATTAAAGTTTTTGAAAATTCGAAGTTCTGAGGATTCTGTTAAAGTGAGCAATTATTTATCATAAGAAGATATCAAAAGCAAAACAGAAATGTAAAATGAGTGCCCTTATGGTGATCAATGAATTACTCAGTACTTCATCGATGGAAAAGAATTCTCGATAAATTTCCTGAAGTTGAAAAAAAAAACACAAACAGCGAAAATGATGTAAGTTCGACAAAAATTATAAAATAAAATTCATTTTTTACGTAAAATACGATGAAATTGTGATGAAATAAAGATAAATGAAATCAAATTTCGTATTTGTAATAGTAAAATTTAAATATTACTGTGAGAAGAAGATGAAGGAGAAGTCTAAGACGATCTGAATGTTATCACTCTATGTATAATTACGGCTAGTTGCACTGTTTCACGCTTTCGAAAATCTGAAATTCACGAAACGGTGACCCCTGCCAACGGCCTAATTTTAAGGGTAACAAGGTAACGAGGAAATGGGGACTTTCGCCCGCACACCCCACCATCTCAAGAGTTCAGGGTCAATTCAATTCGCTTCCTACTGCTATTTTTACTTGCTTACCGTAGTGCGACAGTTACGATGGTAGTACTTTTCCAATGACAGTTGTAACAGTAATAGTAACTGTAAATTTTTTTACATTTCACTAATCACCAAAATCGTCTACGTATTTCTTATTACTTATGAAATTAATGAAGAAATTGAACGATAAATAAAAGCATCCAAATACCTGTTATCTCAACAACTTTAATAGAACTCATTTTATAAATTCAACAAAATCGTGATATTACTTGCAACGAAGTAGCTTAGAAATGATACATTTCTTAGAAAATAATTATGAATAACACGTTTCTTCTTTTTTATAAATTTCAATTAGTAAATGCAACTGATACGTGCCACATACGTGTAACCCACAAAATGTTAACGTATGAAAAGGCTATCAGAACTGATACACAATCATCCTATTTTAAACATCCTTGTATGAATAACGCGTACTGAATTATTAAGATGCTTGTTTTTAATACATGCAAATATCTTATTTCTGGCAGAAAATATAAATGTTCAATAAAAACTTGATCGTTAGTAAATCCCGAGATTCAGTCCATTGGAATTCTTGGATATATTACTGACAGCATTATAAAAAAAGTATTGATAAAGTATAAAAAATGATTATTTTGATACTTTGGACAGATGATTTCTAAATACTAATTTTAATTACAATTATCGTAATAAATCAAATTATCACAAACGTTGAATGATGGAATCACTGAGATCGTGGGCAAAAAGAATGAAATCTCGAATAAAGTGAACTAACTATTCAATAAGTAAAGAGGAATTCCTCCTCTTGTCTAAATAGTTAATTAATTTGATAGAAGGTGAAGAAATGGTAAAGGAAGGACGATACTTGTGGGTTGTTGCTAATGAATAATGGTGTTGAAGTTGCGGATGATAAATCACACAACGAACGACATCCATCAACCAACACAAAAGCACATATTTCTTGGCCAAGAGCACATTTTTGGAGGTTCCTGGAGAACAATGGAAAATGACTGAAAATATAATGCAAACAGATTTACTACAAACCGCAACACACATCCCTTCCAACCATATCTCAACTTTAAAAAAATTAAAATTTAACATTAATATCCTGTCTAAGTACTGAATCATTTCCATAAATATTTTTGGATTTCTCGTGCCTGCCTATTAGTTTTTTTTTTAATTTAGTAGTTATAAAAATGTAGAAAAATAAAGTAAATTACCAATATTTTCTCAACCGTTAAAGTTGCTATGATTTAATGTTAAAAATTTGAAAAGGTCTTCAGTCAATTGTATTTAATGTCTTTTAACGCCAGTTTATCCATTCACAACTCAGTTGAAATTGAGAGATATTAAATGACGAAATTAGGCCTTAAATTAATACAACTTCTATGCTCTAAAATATACAAGATGTGATTTCAATTGACGTGACACTTTTCCAACAATTATGTGAATACTCGTAAATGCTTGACATGACATTTTGAAGGGGAATTTGGCCTTGCTCAAAGGGTATTTTACTGCCGATCATCTGTATTTAGAAAGACAGAAAAGAAATCACGGATGTGAAGTGCTGTATGAAATTGAAAGTATGTTTTATCATGTGGGTTTGACTCATTTCTTGCTCTATTTTTTTTTTTTGAAAATATCTACAAAAGTTTACAAGGAAAGCCAAAATTAACCTACTTATCGAATTGATCATATTCATCGTAAAACACTTATGAACAATGGTCATAGAATTGCATCAGTGAAATGTGAAAGAATTATTGCAATGAAAGAAAGAGTTTGAAATTTTTTCTTTCAAAAAAAAGGAAATGACTTTCACATTCTACAAAAGCTTAATGCCAAATTTTTTTTAGAAATGTAACTTCTTTATTTATTTGATCTTAGAAGAGGTTATGAAAATATTTAGAGTTGCTGATTAAAATTGATATGGTATGGTCTAAATCGAAAAATGTCCTTTCAACAGTAGCTAAAAAACATAACAGGTAAATGTGGCACGTGTACTTCCGTTGCGTTCAGGGTAAAAGATGATATCTCGGGACTGAACAAATCATTACATATATTATCATGGCTAAAGGCCACTCCATGGTAATGGTTGGCTAGACTTCTAAAACACTAATGCTGGACCAATACAGATTTCATACGTGGTCTATTAAATTCATTAGCTAAACTACTGCAGTGAACTTCGGTATATTTAGAAAGTGAAGTGCCAGTCATCTCCAAGGAAATCGTCGATTAAGGAGACCTCCTTATAATTAGTTGAATTTACTTAATAGAATATACGAACACAATATACGACAAACAAAATGTATTTTAATTGAAAAAAAGGATGTGTGCCTTACATTATTTGTTAATTGATTGATCAATTAAATTTCGAAGAATGAATGTGAGCAAAATTGGGTACATAAAATGCCAGTTATCACCTTGACCTGTATCTTTTCATTGCTATCCGTCTACAAAGACGAATGGATTCGTTAGAGTTAATACTTTCAAGATTTGCAAAACTTTCAACAATCGCAATTTATTTCTCTTTAAATAAAATTAGTCTATACCACATTTGGCTCTTATTCTCAAATTAAATTAATCAATCCTTTAAAAAAGAAATCTCTCATTTATAAACTTGTATAGATGGATGAAAAGAAAAGCGCAAACAATGAAGCACTGACGATAGCGTTTTGCTAAATTTTAATTTTAAGAAAACCTCTGTGTATTACTGCCATTGTTTTCTGGATGTACATATGGCAAATGTGGGTGTATTTGTCAATATGCTTTAAGGGTTTTTAGCTACAAAAGATGAAATAGAATGCGGTATAACCTGAACGGGATAATCCTGAAATGTGTGACACCCATACAGACCGCACGTATACTCACAGACATCCTCGGCAGTTCATTTCAACGACTAACACATATACACAACGAACTGAATAACATACAGACAAACAAACCGACAACGTTATCTCGTAAAATGTATGTGTTGTGCTACGGGGCGTGACAAGGAGAATGGGACAGATGCACTTGACCGTGGTGGTGGTGGTGGATGAGTGAAATGAAGGAGAATGAGGGATAGGACCGACCTCCAGCAGTGCCGGGCGGATTTCGTACATTCTTCCGATGCCGTCCCAAACTGACAATTAATCTTACTGAAATTGTCAATCTAGAAAGCCATCTGATGAGACTCAAATGGACGACGATGATTCACTCAAATAAAAAGATCTCCTGGAGGAAACACCGTGAGCAGGAAGGAAGAAATAATCAATCGTATGTATGGAAGATTAAATTTGTCCATTGCGTGTATGCTTAAAAATATCTGCGCCAGCACAGAATAGTTTAGAACATTAAAAAAAATACATAAGGAATGGAGCATGGTACGTAATTTGACTCTTGCAGTTAGTACCATGGAGAAAGAAGGCTTTCATCGCTAAATGTTAAGGACGGGCCATAATATAGTTTATACACGTATTTACGTATGAATTACTACGCAGTCAGCTATAGTAACAGATTGTCCCTTATCATTTTTTACGTTTCAATCATCTTCCTCACGTCATATACGTTACACAGTAATGAAAATCTTCACAGCATGTATTCTATTACAGAAATGCGCGAGGCAAATACAAGACATCATCAAAAATCCTCAATAAATAGTCGGTGAAATAATTGCCAGATTTATGCAGATGGCAGAAGAAAAATATCCATCAATAGTAATTCCTTCTCAAAAAAATTCGTAAGTTGAGAAACTGCACAAGTAATTCAGAGAAACTTAATTGACTTAAGTTGTTTATGTTTGGTGTTATTTTGATATTTAGGGATTGAACCGTTTGAATAATATTCACATGGAATAGGTTCGAAAAAATGTGAATTGTAAATATATTTTCCAAGTTTTGCAATAAATATACTATAAAATACTGGAGAAAGTAATGTGGAAGATATAAAGGAAACAGGAAAGAAAATAGCTCGAGAGAGAAAAATCGAGAGATTGATCTTTCGCGGGAATCATGCTGTAATATTCGAGGATTCCAATATTTCTTAATGGCAATAAAAATATCTTTTGTGATCTATTATTTAAAGCAATTGATGAAGAAAATTGTGTCCATTCAAAATAAATACTGTTAATTGCTGCAGTGAAAATTTTCGAATTGCTAATGAATGGCTATCAAGATAATTCCGCAAAATTAATATACAAAGACCAAAATAGGGCATAAAAATGCGAAGGGACTAAAGAGACACCTGAAGATTGTCACAAAGTTGCAGTTTACAAAGATATTTTTATTATACAATGTGAAACATTCAGACTATATTCAAATGATATGCAAATATTTCTTAATGGCAATAGGAACATTTACTTACTAACTATCAGGTTTTCTGGAAAATTCGGAAGCGGAAAGAAAGATCAAATCATCAAGGTAAAGGTACAATATCCATAACACACAGTATACCTTACAGTACGCCACCATGCATACATGTATAGTTTATCCAAGCATCCAAAACATGGTAGTATGATGATAAATAAGCAATAGGAATATAATAAGCTTGATGGATGTATGTTATATATGAAGAAATAAAATATGTTGCAGGCAATGGAACTGTTACAGAACGCTTTGAAGATTTCACCAAACAATGCCGCCTGCAGATTTTATCGTGCTCGTTTGCTGTATGAAATGCATGATTATGCTCAATGTCTTGAGGAATTAAATGATTTAAAACTTATTGCTCACGATGAAGCGCAGGTTTCATTTTCTTTTAGAATTTATTTTCATATTTCAACCATTATACTTTTCTGCTTCTAATTCTTCTGCCATTCTCGAAACGAGCATATCTTAGCCGTACTAGTCACATTACTGATGATAGCCTGTTATTGACGACGGGATTAGAATTTGTCGAATCTTATGTAAAATTCAGTTTTATTTTTCCATGATAGTGAAATATTAAAAATAAATTATAAATTGCCCTCCTAGAACGATGTCATCAATATTTTTCAAATTGAAAATGGAGTAAAATAAAATGAATACCTATCCTTTTTGAAATTTACACTCTAACTCAGACGTTAAGAGCAGAGGTTTTTGGATAAATAAATGGGCATGAGTTATCATTCTTATTATTTAAAACTATTAATACGAGAATGCTTGGATTTAAGTTTGACTATGTTAATTATGACGAGGAATTTTCAGGTATTTTTCCTTCTGGGTCGCGTACATAAAAAGCTTGGTGACACACATCTAGCGTTATTAAACTTTAGTTTGGCAGCCGAAATGGATCCCCGTGGAGAACAAAGTCGCAATAACTTTACTGATGCACCCTATGATGACGAACCTTCCTCTCCTCATTCTGAATGAAGATTCAAATCTGCAAGATTTACGAATTTTTTAAAGTTTCTATTAACTTTGGAATATTTTATCAGTTACACAGGATTCACAAATAGTAGTTTTTTGTTATTTAGCATTTAAATCCTAGTCATATGTCATATCCTTGATCTGCCATCAGATTTAAGTTTGCAGCTTTCTATTATTCATCATAATCCCCCTTCGCTTAGCAATTAAATCATATTAATTTGTTTTATAGTTTTTGAGAATTAATTTCAATTATTTAAATCAATTTCATCCTTAAATAGCTTGAAAATGTATGACGCTTGATCTAAACTAAGGTTTGTGCATTTACACGCAAATATTGTTGGGTTATTTCATCTCTTCGAAATTTTGAATTGTAATTATCAGAACTGTTCCGTAGTAATTTATCAGTTTATTCATCTCTTCATTTACTTTAGTTAGTCATTGTTCACTTTTTTCCAACATTTTGAGGTACTGGAACACAACTTATCCTTGTTGCTACAGTTTGTTGCTTTATAGCTATTGAAAACACATTAACTTCAATACCCCTGAATTGTGGTTACCTCCTGATGAAATACAAAACACCGCTTGGCACACTTGAAGCTTTTCTTTTGTTATCAACATTTTCTAGTCTTGACACCATAATTTTTAGATCTCACTAATGTCTAAAAGTGATTGGAATAAAACACACTAATGGACTTTTTTAATCTTCTTATTTTAATAACCTCTTCAAAACAGACTGAGGCTTTTAAAAGTTGCAATTCGGAGATGTTAGCTGTGATCAGTTTCAGTTCCCTCTTTATTCGCTTAAATATCATTTCAACAACAGTCTCGACAACCATTTCAAGATAGTCTTTCCACGCCATTTCAAGAAGTGATTCACTTCAACCCCGTTTTCTACATCGTTTTGCTTATATTTTTATTCTTCCTACTGTATAGC